TCGAGATTTTGGACCGAGATTCCCGCCTGGTCTGAGGGGCAGAAGTGGCTGGAAGGGCAGCTCGTGCAGCATGGATTTGCTCCCGGCAGTGGGCAACCGGATGCACCTGAGTCACGTGTACACGCCGACAGTGTGGATTCTGCGTGCGAAAACTCGCTTTGGGCACATCTCTTACCTAAGGGGAATGACTTCGGCACAGTGTCCGAAAAATCCGAAAAGCTCTGCTTCCCAAAGTCTCAAAGTGAAGAAGGCAGGCCACGAACGCTGTCATCCGCTGCAATTGTTTCGGACGCAGGAGTTAGGAGAGGGACCGGTGCTGCCACTGGAGCTGCCGGCTCTGGGACAGAGTTGGAGGTGCTATTGTCCAGGGAGAGGTGCATCTTCAGAAACTGATGGTCAGATGGGAAGCCCCCTGTGCTCGAGTATCCGCACAGATTGATCCCCGGGCTCACTAATACGTGGTCGGCCCCGTTGAAAGACTGGCCCGTAGCGGCATTGAAGAGGCCTTGCCCAAGCGTCATCATCGTCTCGTCCATACTGCCACAGTTAAAGTCGCCGGTGAAAACCACTTTATCCTCGAGCTGCTTGTGCTTGTCGATGGCCGCTTGGTAGTTGGAAGCAGCCTTGGACCCTGCATCGCCCTGGCACTGGTCCAAGGGACCATGTGTGTTCGCAAAGAAGATGGAAGTGTTCGTAGCCTTCTCTCTCAGCCGCACCCAATTCACGAGCCTGTCACCCCACTTGTCCTGAAGCACAGAATTATGAATAACCCTCCCCGAACAGATTTAGTCGATCCAACTATTACTACTATTACCGTACCAAATGCAGGTAGCGACGACGGGAACTAGCAGGACCAAGACGGGGCAGTTTCAGGCTCGAGTTTAGAGTTTACATTTCTCTATCGTGGATTCTGGATTCCAGAACTTAGGACTATTTAGGGTCTACAGCTCTCGACTTGTAGAACATAGGGTCTAGGGCTTTAGGACGTTGATTAGAGCTTCGAAACCCCAAACCCTAAACCCTACAAAACTTACAAACTTCCCTCAAACCCTAAACTCTAAAAACCCTCAAAACCCTAAAACCCCTAAAACCCCTAAAACCCTCAAGACACTAAAAGCCCTTGTTGCATCCAGCCTGCAAAGCCTCTGCTGGGAACACTAAAAGCCCTAAAACCCTCAAAACACTAAAAGCCCCTAAAACCCTAAAACCCCCAAAAGCTTACTTATTCCTCTGTCTTCACTTCCGGCCTTGGCGATCCACTCGCTCCCGGGGCCCCCGATCTTCTGAAAGCGCTCGGTGCTCCAAACCATCGGGGCGTCACTTCCTGGAAGGTTGAAGGCTTCGGGTTCAGGGTGCAGGGTTTCAGGGTTTAGGGTTTAGGGTTTAGTGGTTCAGGGGTTTAGGGGTCTCAGCACTCACTCTCGAACAATCCTTGGGGTTTAGGGGTTTAGGGGTTGGGGTTTAGGGTACCTTTTCAAGGGTGTGGGGCTTAGGGCCTCGAGGGATTAGGATTCAGGGAACCTCGGGGTTTTGGCTTCCACTTGCCAAGCTGGAACCAAAAAATTTTGAAATCTCTGGCGCACTCGGGGTCCGTTAGGCGCGAAGTAGTCGAAGGCCTGGAGGTTGGCTCCCTGCAAAACCTGCTCCACATCATCCTCAGCTCAGAGCAGGTCTGCTCTTCTTCCAGGCTGGATCAACGCCTGGCTTAATTTCGGCCGATGTTTGAAGCGTGCACAAGCCCGAGTGCACTGAATCAGTTATTTTCGCGTTCGCAGCGCCTCGCGCCTGGCAACAACTGGCTCTGCTTGACTCGGCATCTGTACATGTTCGACCTATTATGGTTAGTCTTGCTATTATTGCCATTATTGTTGATATTATGATTACTATTACTACAAATATTATTATTGCTTATCTTCCCGTCCCCAACCGTAGGTCAACGAAGAACGCGAAGGCTACCAAAGTTCACTTCTCGGCTCAGAAGGACATCCCTTTATAGTTGGGGGGCAAGCGACGCACTCTTGGAAGCCTGCCAGATCGAAAGGAGCATTGTCCGCGATGGTCTTGTACCTGAACCGTCAGTGGTCAGCAATAGCCCCCACACCAGCAAAGCGGCCCGCATGCCATTAATGCCTATTCTCCTGTTCATATTCTAGTTCCTGTCCAGTCGTATCCAACTTCCTCATATCCTAAACACAGCTCATCCTGCATAAGCCTTCGATCGGAATTGAACTACCATCGTGCAACCCGGGATCCTAGATCATGACGACCCTGCAGCTATTTGCAAGCCCTCACACAGGGCTTCGGTGCTGTGAACGGCCAAGCCACAGCTCCTTGAAACCTTGACCACCACCAAACTGATGGCAATTGTGCCATTCCTTGGAAAGTGGAGTGCAAGGGCTGCAAGGGCATTCAAGCATCTGGGGTTTGCAGATGCAGTGGGGTCCGGGCGGAAATTGAGGGTTCAGGGTCGTTCCGACTTTGGCTTGTGGTTGCCCACGTTCATGTCTCTGCGCATCTATGCATCTATACACCTATGCCCTATGCAAATTTATGCATACATGCATGCATGTATGCATGCATGCAGGCCGGTAGGCAGGTAGGCAGGTAGGCGGGCACGCAAGCAGGCAGGCAGGCAGGCAGGTAAGCGGGTATGCAGGTATGCATGTATGCATGGAAGCACGTATGCAAGTAAGCATGTCTCACGGCTGAGCATCACCTGCAGTGACACGAACCTTCAACCTATCGGCATAGCCACGTGAATAATCACATACACAACGACAGGCAGAGTCGTGCATGGCCCTTGCACGCTGGCAGAAAGCTTGTTCCAAAGTTTTGGTCGCTTTACTCAACTGCCATCTTCTCTAAAGTGACATCGTGACATCAAGCAGGCTGCGCCCAATGGCTCTACGGTTCGTCCCTAGGAACGCGAATCGGCCCTGCAAGGTCTGCGGATAAGGTAAGACCGCATTCGCTGTTTACACGACAACTTCGACTCATCTCTACCAGCTTTGCTTGCTGCAACAGCGTCAAAGAAACCTTACGCCTTGCTGAGTATGTAGTGTATGATGTATGTACTGGATGTAATGCATGCAATGCATGTTATTACGATCCTGTAGCACCTGCTGAAAGGCATTTACTGTATGTCATATACGTCATGTACGTAATGTATATGTAATGTATGCAATGTATGTAATATTTGGAATGTACGCAATGTATGTAATGTATGTACTTGGGTGTAATTATTAACCTAATGTATCCAACCGATGTAATGCAGTGTGAGGGTGGATGGATAGATTCGGATAGATGGACAGATGCGTGCGTCAGTCTTCTGAAGCAGCAGCACACAGTGATCGATGCAGACAAGTCTCGTCGGACACGCACCACCAGTAAAGATTGTAGGTGGCAACCGTCACTTTGGAGCCCGAGCACCCCATGGCGGAAAAGCAACCCTAAGACAAACTCATCAACCAACACTTCGGTCATTTTCTCTAAATGGTCATGCATGGACGCTTTGACTGAGTGTAACATGATGCAATATTGCGGGCACAACGCCTAAGCAGACAGGAGTGACAAACGAAACGATATCCCACAACAGGCCTCAAGACTTGCTGGGCAAGTACCTTCGCCCCTTCTCCGCGCCCCTGGCCTGCACAACTCTCTGCCGCGTGTCCGTTTTCTCTGCAATCGTACTTCACCTCCTGCCGCGGTATCTACAGTACTTGTCAGTTACTTGTCATGGAGGTCGGCCATTCCACCAACATTGGGTGCGTCTGTCTGGATTCCCGGCTTGTCTTCTGGGATTCTCGCCGGGCCCGTCGTCGCGTTTAGATACTTCGGTCTGCATTGCTCAACTTAGCTCAGTACTCTGACCTTCGCGAGGCGGAAGAGCGAGCTTTGGTGAAAAAACGAAACATGTCAAATTCGGTGACAATGTCGGCCGCCGGGGAAAATGCGAAGCCAACTCGTTTCTCCCTGCTCCACGGCTGACCCTGCCACTGCAGGTCCTGCAGGTGCCTCGGGCAGCCGCAGCCACTGTAATTAAAGCTGAGGGGGTTTCGGAGCACCCACGCTGCCCCCCGCCAAGGGATTCACTGAGAAGTCGAATCTTCTCGGGGCCCTCTGCTGAACCCCACGCAGGGACCAGCGATGACCAGCGAGATGCCGGATCCTTGTCAGAAGATTCATTTTTCGTGGTCATCCTGAACTTCGCCACGCTGCAGACTCCCTGCGTCAGGCTCTAAGACTCTAAGACAGTCGACAATACCATAAGGACCACATTTCGAGAGCCCTCGTCCGAGGCCTCTACTTGACAAAGGGCTTGGCTGCCAGCTGCAGAAGGAGGAGCCGCAGCCAGCTCGAGCTACCTTAGAGAGACACAAGACCAGGTTTCAGAACTCGCTGGACTTGCTTGAGCTGGACCTCCTGCAAGCGAGACGGCATGCTTACACAGACGTATCCCATTCAAGCGACGCCAGCGCATGCCAGCCTGAGTCTTGTCTTGGAGGCTCCTCACCTTTCTCTTGACCGCCGAGTTCAGGTATCCGCCTGAGAGGGGAGAGCGACAAGTCCATGTTTCTCCAGAGCCCCTTGTGATCACATCGTCCTGCCTTGCACGCTGAATAAATTCTTCCACCATGGGTTGAGAATACTCAGGCTCGCCATCGAACACCTGGCTTAAATTGAGGTGCGACTTCCCAAGCAACTCGCGAGGGGTACCCCTCGCGGTCGCCCAGCTTCAATCTTCAAGAAGCGACCCCATCCCGTCTTTGAATCAATCACTCGCGAGGCGAAGCGTCTTTGAATCGACGGACGTGCTGAAGTTATTAACCAGCGGTGCAGGCTTGGCCCAACAACGCGAACCCCTGCACCGGAAAAACTGCACGCTTTCAGGCGACCACGAAAACCAATGCACAAGGATCTTCGTAGCAGTAGTTGGTGGTATGAAGGCGTGTAGCGAAGGTCATATATTGGGAACTGGTGAAACTCGTTAGTGAGCATATTCACTTCCAACACAACCAAGCACTCGACTCACTGCTCGCCGAGATCTCCGAGGCGACATTGCTTGTGCCTTCCTCGGACTCCGCCGGTGCCTCAGTCAGGTGCTCGTAGCCCTCCGTGCGCACAAAACCGTCGTCAGCCTCGTCCACCTGCAGTCCCAAGTCGATGTGCCAGCAAATGTAGCTGGCAGTGTTATAGGTGCTACTGGCAATGCTCATAAGAGAGAGGATCAGGGTGAGGAGGCCGCCACCCCGTACGTTGAAGACGAAGGCATACGCCGTAAGGCACAGGGACAATGGGGCCTCCAAGCAGGCTTCGCATTCTAAGGCATGTCGCAGGGCATCGGAAGACAAGCCTCGAAGCAAGGAGGCTTCTAATTGCTTTGGGAGGCTCCACGCGGCGGCGGTGAGGGCTTCCACCGTACAGGAAGTGCTGACGATAGCGACCATGAGGAACGCAAACTTCAGTTGTGCTGCCATTACGCAAGAATAGATACTGTAGAGGTCCAGGAAGACATCGCAAACAACCATACCAACATTGATGTAAATGCCTCCTGGAGGCATGCACTGAATCGCCCTCTCCGGGCTCACCACGACCGGGTCGTTAATCTCCGCAATCTCGTCTTTCGTCCCAGTCGCAGCTATGCGCTTGCTGAGCTGCTCCACGGCTTGCGGGTCGCTCGAAAACTGCGTGGTGAAACCGCAGCAGCTGTCGATCGTCACGAGGACCACCCAAATAAAGCTGACGACGGCCACGATGTATTGCACGCAGAAGAACAGTGATTTTTCCTCAGTAGAGAAGTGATTGAACGCCGGGCAGGCCATCTCAGCAGAGGCCCTGCTCAGCAGTGGCAGGGGCCCGCGCACCATTGCGTTCAGCGGGAAGGCCGCAGTCGCGTTCGCCAATCTCATATCACCATACATGTAATACCTGATGGCGTCCTCGCAGTGTCGTGGCAGCCAGTACAATGAAACGAGCTGTGCGACCGTGGCGACGGCCCTCGGGAGGCGAACCGGGCAAAGAAGGCCCGGTCGGTTTGCAGGGCTCACGAGCAGGAAGGCCGGGAAGCGAAGAGCCTTCTGCCGCCAGCATGCCAGAGCCGGCAGGGTGTAGACGAGGAAGTAGCACGGAAGGAACTTCAGCGGCCCGATCCACAGCATGGTCATAGAGAAGGGCAGTAGGATGCATGCCACAAGCTCCAGCGCTCTGAAGGTTTCCGCCTTCCAGATGTTCTTCGTCAGGCTCTTGATCGCAAGCCGCCTGCTGCTAGTGAGCACGGTCACTTGCCGTGAGCTTTCTGGGCTTCCGCGCTTTCCCCTCTTCATCCTCTTCCCCATCGCCACCAAGCAAGAGCCGGCGCAGATGCCGACTGCGAGGCCACAGCCCAGAAAAGTCCAGGTGGTGGGGGAAGCGAAGTACTTCTTGGCTAAGTCCATGCCCTTGGGAGTGACCTCTTCAAGTCGCTGCACCAAGGGGTTTTCCGGTTTCATCCTCGCGCAGTCCAGGGCGTTTTGGCCGCTGCGGCTGCGCAGCTCCGGGAGGCTCCCATGGCCGAGCAGCGCTTCAACGGCCTCCACGCGAGCCCATTCCGCCGCCTGCATCAGCGGCGTCCGCCCAGCAAAGTTGGCCACGTCCACGGCTGCCCCTGCACGGAGCAGTGCCTTGACCATGGCCGCGGAGCTGTCCTTGTTTTCGACTGCCCGAAATAAAGCCGTTGCTCCGGTCCTCTCTTGGAGGTCCAAGTCCGGCTTGCGCCGCAGGATTGCCTCCAAAGCCTCCGGCTTGCCGAAACGAGCGGCAAAAATAAGAGCCGTCCATCCGTCTTTGTTTTGGAGGTTGAGCTCCGGCTTGTGCTTCAGGACGGCCTCCACGACTTCGGGCTCGTTGTACTGGGCCGCAAACATAAGAGCCGTCTTTCCATAATGGCTTTGGAGGTTCACGTTAGCCCCGGCAAGAAGGATCGCCTTCACGATCTCCACGTCTGCTTTCCGCGCTGCCCACATCAATGCTGTGAGGCCCTTCTCGTCCCGCTCGTCGATGTCGGAGGCGGTCCGGACGGCCTCGAGCAGCACCTTGTCTGGGAAGATTGTCTTGTGGTTCTTGATGGCCTCCAGCACGGTCCAGCTGCTGCTTCCAGCTAAAGCCAGCACCGATGCAAACATCAGCCAGGGCAGCTTCTGACTGCATCCCATGGCGCCAACGGAGGATGGCTACAAGGCCTCAGGTTGATGTACGCCTGCGATGCATGCATTGCACATCACGACCAGCTCTTTGCATGAACGCGTGCAAAACACAAAACAGCACATGGCAGCCATCCCGAGCCTCAACGGGCCACATCCTGTGGGGGGGAAGCACGAACCGTCACCCCCCCCTGCCCCCCCCCCAACACACACACACACACACACACACACACACACACACCCGCGCACACACACACACACATACCCAGTCCGAGCTCGTTGTCTTTCATCATCTCTCTTCACGCTTCGAATTGGTGCATTCAGAATCTCTGGACGGAAAGCTGCATTCAGAATCTCTGCTGCATTCTAGTATATACAAAACTGTCTGCGAAGGCAACTTCCTGAGGAACAGGAATTCCACACACACACACACACAGAGACACAGACAGACACAGCAATCGTGGCCTCGAGCATCGGCAATGCGAAGCTGCGCCTTGGGAAACAGGCGTGCACGAACTGCGAAAAAAGCTTTCGAGTTGCAGCATGCTCGAAATCCAACAGGTTTGGGGATTACTGAAATTTGCGGTTTGCGTGCTTCTGCCGAGGCTCAAGTACTCGTACAAGTTGCAGAAGGTGTCCGGAATGGGCGTCTGGACCGTCAGCTCGCTTGCATGGGGAGATCTCAGCAAGTCCCTAGCGGTAGCAGACTCTGATGTAGCTGTCTAGTGATCAGGAATCGGGAAACGTGCGGCCCGCTCAAAACCACACAGTTATCCTCCATCTCCAGTTCCTCGCTGTCTGGTCCGAATCACGTCACCGTTCTCCCCGCCCACGCCCTCCTGTTCGCAACGAAGTTCCTCCAAGGCCTTCACCATCGTCTCGGGTCTCGGGGCACGTTCGAAGCCCGTCTGCTCCCGTACCTGCTCGATGGAGCCTTCCAGGGAATAGAAGAAAGTCTCCTCCCTGCACCGGCCGATCATTTCCGACGTCGACCGAATCTGGGCCCTGCGGCCCCTCCAGAGGCCCGTTGTCCATCGCTTCCAGAAACCCCAGGCCTGTGCAGCTCGCTCGTCTGCGACCCGAACTCTGATGGTGGCACCCTCTGCGGGTCGCCTTTGCTGAAAGAGACGGAAAACAGCCAAACGTCGGTTGGCCATGGTCCAGAACTGCCCCTCTGTCCAATACACCTCCACGATTGGGATGTCCGTTTTGGGTTTCCCTTGCAGGAGCTCATTCAAAGTAGCAGCGATACTCTTCCCATCCTTGAAATGTGAAGAAATCGAGAAGTGAGAAAAGCCGATCTCATTCGGCGACAGCTCAATTTCGGTACCTGCCTCGTAAGGACACGGAGCATTTGACTTCTTCAAGGTGTCTCTGTCAAGTGTGTCTGGCTCAAAGGCAATAGGCAGAAAAATCGACTCGAGAAAGGGCAGCGAACGATGCGAAGAGCCTCCGCGGTGCAGCCGAAGCCGTGCATCCCTCAATGCTTGCGCAAATTGAGCGAGCTCATCATCTTCTCGTGATTGCAGCAGGTCCGAAGCCACTTCCAGCTGTTTCAGCAACAGATATGTTCTCTGCAAGACCCGTGGTCAAATTCAGGCCCTCGCAACCTGTACACATCCCCACAGTTGTGGCGTTCATCTTGTCGGGAGGGGTCGACATTGAGGTCCCGGCCGCGCCACTGGTTCATAGCATCGTCACTTGTCCACCTGCCGAAGCCACACAAACAATTTCGAACAACAACAGTAAATCTCAAAAAACGATGCTGCCAGGACGGGTTGCCACATTCTGGAGTCTGGAGCATTCCATGGCCATTAGTGTCCCGCTGTGCCGGAGCATCTGTTGTTTCATGCAGGAAGCTGTGATGCACCTGCCAAGCCAAAGCTGCCGGACAAGCCTGCACGAAACCTTGATCGCGGGCAGGATCTTGTGTCGATCTTGCATAACGCTTGTCTGAGAGCTGTAGTCTTTAAAGTCCTGTAGTATCCGACACGGCTCTGGCCTGCAATGTAAGAGCATGCCACCACCGAATCTGATGCAATGCTGTGGCCCGCGCTTTGCTCAGGTCCAGCAAGCAAACGCCGCTGATCATTTTCTTTTTCCAGACGAGAGGCTGCTGAGATGGCACGGAAGTTGGCGCCTTCTGTGCGGCTTCGGCCACTCTGACAAGGGGGGATGGCGGGGCCCCAATGCCCAGCCCACACGTGCAGTGCCTGGCAGGTGACGGTGCGTGCACAAGTGCGGAAGTCGTGGAGAAGCAGTTGGCAGGGCCAACCCGTTGAGAGTAAATTCACCTTGAGTTTTTCCGCACTGTTGTTCATGGGGGCCGCCTCCACTTGCCTTTGCTCGAGCCCAGCTTGCCTTGCGCCATTGGGGCTTAGGACTTCGCAGTGCGGCGTGCTCTGCGCCGGCCACTTATTGACCGATGTACTGCCTTGCTCTCGGGAGCCAGCCTTTGCGCGTGCACTCGTCGACACTCTTGAGCAGGGTTCGCCTGCACCAGAGGTCCTACAGTCGCTCCTCCTCGCTCGTGCCTCTTTGATTGTGTGCGGGTTTGCCCCTCCGTCCTGGCCTGACCTGTTGACGACTTCGTCGGGTCCGCGCGATGAGGACGATGAACCCCAACTCGACGCCACACGAGCTCGATCCCCCAGCCGCCGCCCTGCTGGACTCGCACACAGGCCCCTTCGCAGCCCGGATCCAGGCCCACCACCTCTGCCGAACTGTCGCTGGCCTTCCGACGCCTCCGGCTCCCTCTGCCGCTGACTGCCTATAGGCATACCGGATGCCTGTGCCGCGCCCCCAAAATACTTTCCAGAGGAGGGGCTCCGAGGCTCCGAATCCCAAGATTTCCCGTCTGTTGCTGCTCGGAGCCACCACTGCGGTTCATATGCGGTGTGGTGTGACATCCGCTGGGGCCTTGCAGGATTTCGGGTCCGAGAGACTGTCGGCTCAATGACAAACATCACATGGCTTCATGTTCTCCTTGGGGTTTTGCTCTCCCAGGGCCCCTGCATGAATGCTACAGCTCCTGCATCGACGGCCGCCTCACGTTTAAACACCAAGAGATACAGATGCACACATGACCCCCTGACTTACACTGGTACACAAGCGATCTTCTGTTAAACACAGACATGGAGCAAAACGTCGCACTGTAGAGACTGTAGAGCACACCTGGAACGGTGGGAAGTAAAGCTCCCACGCCGTCTTCTCGTCAACATTGGACCTCAACATGTGACATGTGAAGCAGGGGTTTGGGGACGGTGACCTCAAACAGAGCTGCTGGCGACTCTGTCATTCTGTTTGTCTCCTCGCTCCGGCGATGGTATGAAGTAACTTCTGTACGCGATGGAACACAACAGCTCCTGCTCGTTCATGGCGAAGTGCTTGACAACCGCCATGACCCCTTGGGACTGAACTCCGCGAACCTCGGGACTTCCGGAAAGCCTCTGCAGGTATCACAGCTTTTGGGGAAGCCTCGGTTCCGAACGTGGGCAGCACCGAGCTTGGCCCCGAGGTGAGGGTCTTCACCCGAAAGGTACCTTCGAGATCTCGTGATGTGGCTCCGAGATGGGCTGAGTCTGAGTTCTGCGCTCGAAGTTCCGGCCGTTTCGGGCCACGCGGTGCACATTGACCCCGGGCCTCGAGCCCACTCCGAAAGAAGTTGGTAAGGTCCGCTGGCTGCGACGAGCTCACGGCCCTAAGCTTGCTGATGCGCCCTTCATAGCAAACTCCTTGCCTGTCACATCATGCCAACCGATTAAGCATGAGCATGCAGGCAGGTCGCATCACCGTCAACACTTTGGCTACAAGTTATGTTCTGACATGCCAGCAGCTGCAATGCAAGCTGAGGGATTCGCCCAGGGCCACACCGAAGATCAGAAGGGAATCCTGCAAAGACAATCCGGACAAGCCAAGATGGAAGTGATCTACACTCCCATCCTCACACCGGGAATGAGAGGTTCGGGCGAACTCGTATGTGGTTTGCCACAGACCTCGCGCGTCCTCGTCCCATGTGGCCGCCATTGACCTGACAGCTCTGGTTTGAGCAACACCTTATTTCGCTTCTGACTCGAATATGTCGCGGACAACTGAGAAGGCCAGCAAGTCGATGTCCCCAGCATGTCTTTCCTGGGCAGGCACTAAAGTGCGGCGAAGCACATACGTTCCATGCGCAGGGACCCAAGGTACTCGCTGTCACTGACTGGGTGTCTCTTTTTTCCTTCGAGTGCACGCGGGAGGCTCTCAGAAGCCCTCGGAGGGCCCCTCGGAGCTGGAGCTGGAGCCCAGCGCATCGCAGGCGGCCGCGCCGGTTCGTGCCTAGGGACCACTAGGACACGAGAACTCGCGAAGCGCAACAAGGCGATGATCTTGTCTGAGCCTGCCGCATCCCTGTAAAGGCAGAAGTGCCTGAATGGTGGTCAACACATTCCGCACTTCTCGAAATGTGTCAACGATTTTGTTCCTATCATTTCCGATCAAGCTACTGCACGATAAAGATCAGGTCGAAGAAGACCTCGAGTGACAGAGGTCTGTATGCTCTTAGGTATGGAATCCACTCAGTGCCGCACCGAGACGTTGCCCAGCCTTGGCACCACTCTCGCACCGAAGCCCAAGCAATGTGAATTCGGCGGTGGTGAAATGAAGTGAGCAATGCGAGCTAAGGAGCATTAGCTTGGCAGGGTCACCAGAAACCTTGCTCCAGTCGTTGCTGAGCGAAGCATCAAGAAGCAGCCTGAGTCCAGCAGGCAAGCGTTCCCCGAGCATCGCCAAATTTGCACCAGTGAGGCCAGCACTGAGCTACACTCAGCAGGCCTGACACCACAAAGCTCAAGCCGACATCAGCTTTGCTCAAGCTTGAGAAGCTCGCACTGCCTCCGGTCAAATCAAGCAAGACGTTGTAAATCGTCCATCCGGCCTCAGCCATGCCAACCCCGGTACCTGGACAACCTCTCTCTTGATCGCTCGCAGCTGATGAGGGCGAGTTGCCGTGCTCTTCCTCTTGTAGTTCATCCACACTTGCGGGCAGTACTTCCTGAAACAAGACTTCAATTTCAATCGTAGCGACATAACCTCACCGGCTGCACGGAATTCATTCATGCCGGACATTGCAGGCAAGTCTCACGACTGAGATGATCACCTTCACCTCGTCTCACATACCCGTTAAGGCCCCTACCAGTACTGCATGTAATGGCCCGCGACAGCCGAAATGACGGACCTTGCCTCCGCGATGATGGTGAGAAAAGTCAGCCAGCTAAGACAACACCTTCGGTCGGGACCGAGCGAACAGACTCGCTGCCTGAAGCGGCATGCCACTTCTGTGAGGGCTCTGCTCTTCGTAGGCACTGATATAGAGGGCGGCACCCACCATAAAAATACCTGACGGTCATCAGTCATCAAAGCCACTCAAGAAGGAGAGGCAGTCTCAAGTCCTTACAATTGCAGCGGCCAGAACACTATGCTTCACTTGCCCAACTGCCCCAGCCACGGCACCGACAAGGCCCAAAGCTGTCAGCACTGCCACTCGCAACATGCGGTCAGCACCCGCAAGTGGAGGATAGTCGTAATAGAAACCTGCTCAAGTCAAAGCTGGCCCTACTGACCCCAAGCACAACTGCCTCTGGAAGGTCCTGCAGCACATACGCTTTTCGAACGCGAGAGCGACGAGATAGAAATTCTCGTCAGATAGGTTTCTGGGCCGGACCGCAGAAATTGAGCGACCCTCCGAAATCATCAACAGGGTACCATGAAAAGCAGACTGCGGGGGCGCTGCGAGAGCCTAGAGCACACCCAAAACATGAAGCTTGCACATATCTGCAGTGCTTACAATACATCTCGCACTTCGTGACACCCTCAAGGGTTGGAGAGGTTCGGAACTATACAATCGAATTGCAAACCATTCCAGCCATCCGGCACCCTCGAGAAAGACGTCTTGGACTGTGGGTGTGACAAGGCTCGGCATCCGAGGGTCGCAGGAGGCTGGGCGTACGTAGCATCTGTACATCAGAGGTGCCTCAAACTCGGATTGCACCAGGGATTGGGGGCCCATAAAAGGGGTCCAAGCAGCCACGCCCCAAGTGGGCCATGTGCTGCCTTTGTCGTTTCCGAGTTCATTCAGGGATGGTTGCTCTGGTCACTCAAAGCTCGATTCTGCTGGACCTCCAAAATTGTCCAAGTACAGTACGGGTAATTCATCGAGCATGCTGGTGGCCTAAAGGGCCTGCTCTTCTACCATCTGCCAGAGCAGCACAAGCGAGATAAGAACACTGTGCCGAGAGGGTCAAGTGCAGTCTCAGGCTATTCGTGCATGTTATCCACAGAGAGGGAAAATGCAGAGCACCCATGCTCATCATCTGCCAGCCGCAGACGAGGAGACGGAAGCTCTGGGTATTTTCGCGTATTTTCCGACCGATGCAGTTCTACACGGCCCCCGGCTGTCCGAGATGCCATTCAGGGCAAGAGGCTCGTGTCTGCGCCACCGACTACCAGAGCAGTCGCCCGGATCTTCCACCACAGAACTAAAGCATCCAATACTTTGTACGTACTGCCGCCATGGGATGCAGAGCGACAGAAATTGAGAGGTGGCTTCGGCCTGTCAAATTCCGCTCGAAACATCGAGGCAGTCGAAACTGGAACGACCATGGCCTCTCGCGTCCCGTGGTTTTCAAGAGAAGCTGTGTTTTCTTTGGTCGTCGATCTCGTAAACCACGGAGAAAACCTGATCTCATCTGTATCCTCCATAAACGGAGGGCAGCCATGGTGGCTGCCTTTGAATTTCTGCATCGAGCACGGTGCACCGGCACCGTTGACTCCTAGCTCTGGCTAACCGGCTGTGGCCTACCGCCTCTTCATCTCTTTTACCACGAAGCTGCCATAGTTGCTGGCCTCAGATGCACCACTGAGCATCCTTTTGCATCCAGGCCTCTTGAGGGTGTTGCCGGGAGTGAGCATCCTACACCCATAAACCCAGCCGAAAACCCGGACCAGCTGCACCGAGGGGCAGAAAGGCTCTGCAACGCCTCTGAGTTCTCCGCCAGGGCGTCCTTCAGGACCTGGCGATCCTGCCAAGAAACGCATGGTCTGTCATCAGTTTCAGTGTCACGACCAACTCCACTTTCCAGTCTGGAGGATGTTGTCGTTCTTGCCGTGACGTGTTAAGCCTTGCACTCTTGAGTGGGCTATACGGCTTTTACAGTTGCCGCCATCAGCGCCTCTGACGGCTACTGTCTTCATGACTCTAAAGTCTTTTGTTTTGTGTGCCCTCTTGGCTACGCTGCTGCCGCCCTCTCCTCCTGCCCGGTGTGCACGAGGGCACACTCGATCACATGGCTGGCTACCTGCAAGGATCTCAGCGTGAAGGAAACGGCGAATGCGACGGAAACTGTATCAATCTCCCTGACAACACCAGCTGGTCGGAACGATCTTATGCTGTTGCCTCGGTGTTGCTCCAGAACTAGCGGGAACTGAATGGTCGTCCGTTTGAGTGTCGAGAGCGGTGATTTTCAGGCGCCTTGTGCCGAGCCAGGCGTTTTGCCTCTGGGACCAGAGCCGCACTGAGCTTCCTGACATGGGCATTGCGGGTGGTCGTGTGCCATTAGCACCATAGTCATCATCAGCGGCAGCATCCAAGAAAATCATCATCACCTGTACAATCACCACCGGCATCATCATCATCATCATCATTATCATCATCATTATCACTATCATCATCATCATCGTCAGCATCGACGTCAGATTCGTCTGCATCCTTACAGTTCATCGTCACCTTCCTGCACCATGCAGCATCAATCACCATCATCATTCGTTGAGCGAGCCACATGCTGAAGATCGGGTTACAATTCCGAGGGGCAAAATTTCCAAGGCTGCAGATGTGCTGTTGTTCACAATGACAAACATGACCGCTACAATCATGGCGATGGTAGACGACGGTGAAATGAGCAGCGAAGCCGATGGTGTTGAGGATGCTACTAAGCGATGAGCGTGGCGATCGTGACAGCGACACTTATGGCGGTGGTGAGAGCTGGACCTGCAGTCTTCGAACATTGTCACAGTAACATTCACAGCTGCCTCATGTTTTACCAATCAATCGTAACCGTCCTATTGCCCGCCAGTACCATCCCATGCAACCTTGCCATTTCAGTCATTGCTCCACCTGTCCGTTCTTATCCTGGTCAGGGTTTTCAGTTGGCTTTCGCAACTCGGACACTCCGGGCAAGGATGATGGGTCGGTAGCCTGACAACGCAGAAAACATTCACACACGCAGCCCGACTACGAAAATCTGTCTATCTGTCTATCTGTCGATCTATCTACTGCAAGCTGGCAAACAAAGGCAGAGCCTAAGCATCGCATGCATTGTGCCTGCGCACGGATGAAGAGCCGTGTTCAAACGCGTGCTGAATCACGTAGTTGCCGAACGGGTGCCTGGAACTACACAGCTTCGAGGACTATTTCGGACTCTACAAACCTGAGAAGAACTCGCGATATGCTAGTCTTTGCCGCGGACCATGAAACAACTGTCCCTCCCTGGCAGCCTAACGGCATCACATCCACAAGCTGTTACAAGCCGAATGCTGACGTGCTGACGAGCATCCTGCTCAGGTCAGGCACGTCTTGCCTTGGCTGCTTGGTCATGGGTTGCGGGCTCGTGCTGTGCCCCATGGCTGCAACAGGAACGAAGCAAGGAGCGCAGTCTTCTTCGATCAGAGACGCTGCACCGTAAGCTACGCGAAATTCAAGCAGCTTCGAGTTTCCCGAAGCCAAAGAAGGAATGAGACCGCAGATGCATCTCAGCAAACTACGCTCCGCCAGGCACATCTCTTGGAGATGTGAACGGGACTTGGGCGTTTACACGATAAATGTCGGTGGGAAAACCCTACAGCGGAACCACAGTGCGTTTAAAGGTGACCAGTTCGGGCTGGGGAAGCCCGCTGGCACGAAGACCTACCACGTATCTGCTAAGTTCAGCAAGCTGAACACTGATTTTCTTGATGGCCTGGCGTGTGACTTTGTTTTCGTAGCTCATCTTCACCAGTTGGAGGTTTTTGGCGGGACCACGACCTTGCATGCACCCGGTGACAAACTCCTCCAGGCCGACAAGGCCCGTCTGGTCCTCATCCATGGTCATGAAGAGGGTCCAGAGGTCCTCTGTGGAAATACCCATGGATTCCAGGAAGCTCGAAAGCTTCTTCTTCGATATAGCATCCCTGAGGTCCTCGATGCTTACTACGTGGCATTGGTCTGCATCAATCTCGTGAAATATCTTTCGAAGAGCTTGAACATGTGTCGTTTGCTTGTGGAGCTGCTTGATCGCTGCTATGTCCTTGTCCGCGTTCGCAGACTCGATCGCTGTCGTGCAGAACACACCCGTTACGACCTGCGCAAGGATGAACAATGAAACTAGCTTTGTGCGGACACCTGTGTGAGCCCCGCAGATGCACAACGACCCCTGTGCTACTGAAACTGACCATTTCTGAGATAAGGCGCACGCTCCTTTTGGCAAAAAATGAAACGGAAGGAAAGGTCTAAACCACAACACCCTCCGGCTGGAAGGGAAACATGACACATCACTGTCACACAGGAACAACAAGCGCAGTTCACATGGTAAGTTTGTGTCATGTTTTCCCTCTCGCACGGCTGGCAACTATGTCCATTGGCGAGGTTGATTGGGAGCTTCATGGGACATGCACATCAGACCTTTACGGTCAAATTCGACGAGATTGTGTCATTAGAACACAGGTTCGTGGTGCACCAGCAACCAACAAGCAACATACACGGTCCACGCTTCCCAGCGTATTACGAACACATGCTGACGGTCGTATTGTAAGGCTTACGAACAGCATCAAAATGCTGGAGCGTGCGCTGGTCAAAAGCATTTTTGGCCTCACATCCCCTGACAACATGCTGAAAGTTTCCGGAACGGGTTGTGCACAACGGGCCATCAGAGATGGCTTCCTGAGCTTTATCTGCCCGAACAGCGTTTTTTTGGGGCGGCCCTATGCAATTCCCACGCAGCACAACTCCAAGCACATCCATCAAGTCCGCGAAAAAACTTGGAAAGAGATAGCTGTAAGGAGCGTCTGGTATGCTGGCCCAATCGCGAGACGGCACCAGTATTGGCGGTCTAAAGCTATATTACACATACATATATATGTATACATATATCTTTCTGTATGTCTGTGGCATGAACCTTTGGGTATTTTTTTGCCTCCTGCATGACTCATTCGACGAAGCAGGGTAATAGGTGTGCACTCTTGTTAATTCAGTCATCTCATGATTTCAGAGACGGACTCAACTTTCGCTATCACAGCGAAGATGCACTTCAGTAGGTGGTCGTCGTTGCATAGGGATCCGCCTCGACGAGATCACTACTGAAAACCCGTACATCATACATGGACCTCATGCAAGTGCACGAAAGTTGGATCAAAGTGGATACCGAACATAATCTCGATCACTGCAGTTGCTTCTTCACCTTTGAAGCGTAAAACGGAATCCATTGCGGATCCCATACAAATCGCCTAGAGAGAACATCATGCTCGAGCGACTCTCTGGAGAAATGCGCCCGTGCAGCTTGCTTAACACAGTGTCTGAGCCCATCCCACGAATGGCCAACTTGATGACAGATTCCGCATCTGATCTCTTTTCCAGCACGCCCTATAGCCCGCACTTTTGCACTTTGGATGGCCCCCGTGACGAGGCAGAACCCCACGTTGCGATGCAATCGTGCCTTCTGCCTAACTTTGGTACATCTTTGCTCTTCATATGGTGGGATCACTTCACCCTGCAGCTCATGCCTATTACTGGCGGCCAACTTGCTGTAGCGCAATCGACGCCAGGATTCCCGTAGCATGTGCCCCACTCGATGCGCATCCGAACTCAGGTTGAAGAAACCACAATCCGCATGTCGCCAACCATTTCCCTCCGGAGTCCACCCAGATGCACTTCAGTACTCAGCTACTCCACGGATGGAGCAGGTTCAAGGATCTGTAGTCTCAATGTGGCAAAATGCACGGTTGGGTGTTGTTGTATAAAGTTGTATAGATATGTACATATTCCCTCATATATATATTTATGTATATGTATGTTAGAGCCTGTATTCGTATGTACATGAACGTGAAGTATGATATGTCACGGGAATCATGTCACAACTGCATCGAATGAAGCAAGTCCAGCCGGAAACTCCGTACTTCGCCGACTCGGATCTCGAGCTGGCAAGCCTTTTTGCATAACCCTACACCTCGAGATTGTCGAGATTCAGCAGTGATTTATCAAACTCTGCAAGCACAGGGTCTGGAACACAAACTCATACCAAAGCTTGCGGCCTAAGTGCTGGGACGCATCCACACCACGTCCTGCCCTAAGGCATCATCAGGCGAGTGAGGTGAACTGCCAACGTAACTACTTGCTTTCTTTTGCGGCAAGCATCGCCAGTCAACAAAAGACACCACCACCACCACCACCACCAAATTCCTCCGAATGTACGGCCCGCAACGGCCGGCTTCAATGACTTTCACATGGCAGAAACATCAAATCCCCAATGTACGCTGGCCAACTGCGGCTGGCAGCAAACCACATCACAAGCAACAATTCCCCACGTAGACGGCCGAAATCGCAAGCACCCGCCAGAGATACGCACATCAGCACATCGCTGGCAGCAAAGCACATAACAACAGCTTTTCCCCATGTAATGCTCGATTTCACCATGCATGCGTGGCCCGCGGCGCAGGAGGTCCATGTCGGTACCGTGGATAGCTTAAGTTTAAACTAGGATAGAATGAGTTTGCGTAGCTGTTCCTGGCGAGGCAACCACCCAACACCACACACGCAAAAAGCGTGAAGCCCAGGCCCTAGGTCGCCACAGCGCCCGTCATCTCAGCACCATGCCAATCACAGTCTGCACTGTATATCCCGCAAAAAACTCTGTGTTTGCGACACTTCTAAGCCGAGGCCGGTTCGAGGGGCTGGCTTGCACTTGCTTGCACAGCACAGATTGGCCTGCAGATCAACACGCAACCATGTCCGCGGCAGATTGCAACCAACGTTGATTATGAGAAGTTTGTCCATGTTGCTCAATGTCAAATTGCAAAGGCAAGGGTCACGCTGTTTTCTCTCGCGGAAGACCGTCCTCATCATGACCACTTCAGGGCTTCTTCTTGCGAACTCCTTGGGTGAGGAGTTGCGTCGATCGACTCGCAGCGAAAACTCTACATTTTCGTCTTCATTACAGCCGCCGGTCGCTTCATTCGCCACTGTTGGACCCTCTGAATTTCGTGAGCACGATCTGCAGCTAAAGGCAGATCAGATTTGAGGACCCTGCCGTGGTCTACGGAGGCAGCACACCATGTCTGCCACTCTTCCTCAGACCAAAATGTTGTCGTGGTTAAACGAGACAGCAAAGCCGACCTCGGCATCTTATGGCTGGTCTTTGCAACGCGGGCACGTGCGGCAAGTGTTTGCAAACAGCATGGTCAGCTGAGGGGCAACGCACTTTGACGGATCAGCACAATCTGTCTAAGCCAACATTTCACTTCTGCATGGAGCCTCTCCTTGGAAGATGTTCCGGCAGGATGAGAGGTGTGCGCCTTTGGTCCTGTCACATGCAAGCACACAGCGGCCAGAGTCAAGTTTATGGGATGTCGTACATGCAAGCACAGTCTGAAATCCGAGCCAGGTGTGTGCCGCCATTTCGAGTTGTTGTAGAACCACTCCATCCGATCCAGATTAGCCGCGCACAACAGTATGTGGGAAATTCGTTGGTTGGCTCCCGTAGCTTTGCAGCTCATGTCTTCGCGAAAACATGCAGAGAGAGCTGCACGAGACTCTGTGAACTTCAATCTGCAAAGAAAAGGCTTGGAGGTGCTAAGGTTGGCTACGATGTTCTCTGCTCGTGATCTAAACATGCAGCCGGTCTCGATGGCAGCTCTGCGGCTTCTCTCAGCCTGATTGAACCCCTTAAAGTTTACCTTACATATGTAATGTGTATACAGATATATATGTATATATAACAGCCTGCGAGTCTAACGCCAGCGCCATGTTAGCCTGGTGCCGTTACTCTGCCCAGTTGACTTTTCGTCTACCCAATCTTACTCCAGTAGGGACATCACGGGCAAAAAGGAAAAACTATGACGCAGCGCAGCATCGGACTGAGAGAGGATTCACACATCAGATGAGTAAGCAACCGAGCGACGCCAACTTTCACGCAAGCCATGCTGAAGATTCCTGATATCAGCAGGAAAGCCAGGCAAACAAGGTTCAAGAGAAAAGTGCTTGTGCTGAGCAGGGTGAGAAAAGGTCCACACACCCTTAACACTTCCGCTGGGAAAATTCCCACTGACCGTCAACACTTTCGTTGAGACTGTCGAACTACTCCACATAACTGCACAAAGCATTCACAACGAGAGCCAACAGCCCACACACCCTTAACACTTCCGTTGGGAAAATGCCCACTGACCATCAACACTTTCGTTGAGACTGTGGAACTACTCCACATAACTGCACAAAGCATTCACAACGAGAGCCAACAGCTTGCCAGTCAGCGGAACAAGAACCCAAATAAGAAGCAGCACGAACCGCTTCAGCAATCACGTCGGTAACACCGGAAAATCGTCTTCAACTCCTTGCTGGCCGATCTGTGCTCATCAGCACGACGAGAACGAGCACTGTCGAGTTTGGCTAAAGTTTGCTTGTTCGACTGTTGAGTTACGACCTGCAAGCTGCCCTGTGTTCCTGAAGTTGACCATCTCTGAACGGTTTGAGAAAGGAAACTCAACACCCCTAAACGCGAGAAAGGTTGAAGCAAAGGATCCCAAGCAAGGATAAGGTTCTGTGAGCAAAATCGGACAATGAGAACATCAACGAACTGTCGGCATAGACCCTTACTCAATCTCACGACAAAGCTCCGCGATCGTTAGCTAGGAAACGGACATCGCACGCCCAAGCCGACCCAAAAATTTCGAACTGAGCCGGTGGCGTTCAATACTGCGAAAACAGCAATGACGATGTAAAGAATCATGAAGGCACAAGCCAGCTCGGAAGCCGTCCGGAGCGGACCGAAAGCATCTTCCCAGCTCATTCCACCAGAGATGGCTAGGAAGAGCGTCCTCGGTGTTGGGTCGACACGTGGTCGGCAGTTGATCCGGACGCTTCTTGTTCGGGATGCTTGCACCAGAACTCTTGGATTGATTGAAACGCGAGACTGGTTGGGCTTCGTCGCAAGACTTCGCATATCCAGGCAAACCAACTCTCACAGCTTTGACGGGCTCCTAAAACTAGGGACACGTTGTTGTACTACTACCTTTCATGACAAGTGTCAGCATGCTCTCGGGGACGCTCGCCCAATACCTGTGCAAATCATCCGGGCACTGAGGCACCGCGTTCACATCTCCAGTCGTCATCACAACTTGATCCCTGCAATGATCCGACACAAGTTGTGTTAAAATGACGCCGAAGGTGTAGAACAGCAAGACCAAAAGCACCAAGGTCCAGATCAGTGATCCGATTGTGCTTACTATGCAAAGGGCCAGGGTCCGCAAAGCGCTGACATAGCGAAACAGCCGCACCACACGCACCCCTCGCAAGGCGCGAGCCAAGCGAATCCTCAGCGATTGGAGGCTTGGGGTCATTCTGTCAGATGTCAGTTTGAATGACACTAGCTATCAACCTCGAAAAACGGACTTCAAAGTGCACCCCAGAATCGTTCGGACTACACGCAAGTGACTGGAGTTAGCAACATCTGCAGACATTGATTGTGCCCAAATATCGATTATCGTTTCAAAGACGGAGACCGTGATGATCAAGGCATCGAAGGCATTCCAGCAAGCCTCGTGGCCGCACCAGTACTCCGTGAAGCCTACAGCAATGCACTTCAAGGCAACCTCCCCGACAAATAGCATGACAATCCCAGTGTTCACTGTCCCGAACCACTTCGGCACGTCATTCTGGCCAAGCAGAGTGGAAACATCGACCTCAACACCGAGCAAGATGACGTTCAAAAGGATAAGCATCATGATCGCGTTGCTGAATCCTTTTGAACTTACGAGCTTTTCAATCTGCTGAGTTAGCCAGCTACGCTCCGGTGGAAGGTTCAAGGTGCTTCTCGACCTTAGATACTTCAGCTTCGAGGCCTCTTTGTCGGCCTTCTTCTGGTGTGCCTCAAGTGTGCGTCGCACGAAGGAGTGCCGGGCGCTGTCGCGCCTTGTCACCCTTCCTCTCTTGGGCCTATCCTCGTAAGGGTGATTCTCATTCTGTCTAGTGATGCCCTCCTCCTCGTCGTCTTCAGTCGGACTCGGCGCGGTCTCTCCGACTCCGTAGCCAACAAGGACAGGTTCTGCAAATCCAACGTTAACGGATTCATGGCTGGTTTCTTGGGACATGCGATCCTGATCGCGGTACGTTGAGTCCTCATGGATCACCGAGGAGCGAATGCTGGTCTTGCGGGCCGTCATCGACAGCGAAGGCACCGGCGGGATCCGATGCTGACCCATCCTCACCTGATTATGCACCTCCCGCAGCAGCTCATGCTGCCTCGCGAACTGCTGCTCCAGGACTGAATGTAGTCTCTGAAATTCGTAGGACCAATCGCCAGGTAGCCTTGGACTCTCTTCACCAGGACTAATGCTGCCCGACATTGCGTTTCCAACTGGAGGAGACACTCGAGCAAGGCTTTCTTGAGCCAATGCGTGGCCGAGTGGTTCGACTGACACAACTTCGACCCGTCTCTGTCAGCATCCAGCGCCGGTAAATGCATGCTGCTTGGCTTTCGGCGCACGAACATCTACAAGGGAAGCTGGGATCCTTTGGATCGAGGGGTATGCCGAGGTGCAGCAGCTCGTCGAGCAAGACGTCGCTCTGCGACGTGCCACAATGCTCGAGAAGTCTCTCCAGGACGCGGCATCCGAAAGGGTGCCTAGAGCGGAGATTCTACAGGCGATATCTCTTTCCACCTTTCTTGCATCTGGCAGTGGGGACTGTAGGTGAGTGCTGCCCTTAGCAGGAGGAGGAAGAGGAGGCGTTGAGACAATGTGTCAGCTTGATTGCCAAAGTAGCCCTGCTGGCAAGAACCCTGAACCATTGGGAACGAGCAATGCCCTCGTTTGGACAAAGCACCTGGCAGCCTCATCGACGCGTCCAGCTAGTTCCTTGCAAGAAGCCGGAGCTTCGCATCTCAGAGCGTACTCCAATGCTGATGTTACCGATATCCCATCAACCGCAAACCGCATACTGCATGTTCGGTACTCGCCCGAGCTCAGAATGTGTGTTTGACTGAAAGCCCTCCCAAAACTCAAATTGATGCCCAATGTGCTTCGATGTACGAACATGCACCCATCTTCCAGGGGTCGAAATGGATCACTCGAGAAGTACCTGTGGTGTCGATGAGTTCGACAAATGGGCACAAGAGATCGATGTGGGGCGGGCAAAACCTTGAGAAGAAAAGGTAAAAAGAACAGCGTCAAGCGTTTCGAGTAGCTGGTACTATGATTAACAACAACCCCATTCCAGGATGATAGTGAATTTGGCCTGGGCTCTTCAAAGACAAACTGCATCTTCTCCGGCGGCATTAGAGCAATAATTTTCTGCAAGACATGGTTGGCATGGGGCGACTTCAAGGCATACCAGACTCGGCCTTTGAAGACATTGGTTAAGAGCTGTTTGTCAGGAGCCTCTGCCACATCCATTGCTGCCTGGACAACACGTGTGCCGCTCTTGCTGCCCGCCAACGTCCACGCATCCTGGAGGATTTGCTGCAAAAGCTCACGGCTCGGACCGCTAGGACTCGAAGTCAGCTGGCGCAGCGCCCAGTCACAGTCCCGATTCGTCCAGCGCCGCTGAACTGAGCTGGAGGAAGATGCTAAGGAGGCTTGTTCGACGGAGGCCCAGTCGGATGCTTCTGACAGTGCAGAGGAGACGTTGCGATCCAAACGTCCAGGTGAGACTGGCCCTGGCCCTGACGGGCCGGACGGCCCAGGCCCTGACGCAACTGGAACTCCCCGTCCGCGAGCCTCTCGAGCCTCCGTCTCCTGCACGGCATCCACACTGGCGCCAGCGTGCACGGGCACCGGAACCATCACCATTGGCATCATCTGCGGCATGTGCGGCCCCGGTGGCATATGCAGCATCTGCGGCATGTGTGAAGCCTGCTGGAATTGCATCATTTCCGGGATGCTGTCAGGGAACATGTTGGAGAAGCTACTGCTGGGCTGCTGGAAGAGGTTGGACTGGATGTGGGCCTGAGGAGCCGGGGCCTGCCAAGTCAAAGTCTCCTCCTCATCATCGCTGGCTGTCTGCCAGCCCTCCTCTTCTGCGTGTGTGCCGACATTCAAATTCGGCACCACGTTTTGGCTGCGCCTCACCGGCCGCGGTTGCCGCGGCTCGTGGCTCTGTCTCGCTCCGTGCCAGGCAGCTCCTGTAGCTGCCACGACCTCGGAAGCAGTCTGACGGTTGACCTAAAGCCGGGCTGCCTTGAGATGGCAACAAGCTTCTCTTGAGGTGCTGGCCCATGTCCACAAATTCCCGGCCGCGGAACTCGGGGTTCCCTGAAGGCCACCCACGAGCTGCACGGGCACATAGACGCCAGGACTTCCAGCAGAGGCGCCCAGGTGAATTGGCAGGGGTACTGCCGCAGCTTGGTTGGGAGCCGCACGTGGCCTGGCGACCTGAGCCTGGCTTTGGGTGGGAGAGGCTCCAACTTGCCTCAGGCTCAGGAGGACAGCTAGGAACTGCAGCATAGGTTTGGATCGAGTTTGGAAGAAATGGCTCATCCTGGCGATAACCATCGCTGATGATCGCTGGCCTGCAGGGAGATGCTGGGTGAATTGACGGAGGGCCATGAACTACACAACAAGCCGGCCTCGCCAGACGGCAACGGGCGGCAATGACACACCACTCTTGAGCAAGACAGAGCTGCAAAGAATAGGTACACTCGGTCGCTCTACTTTGCAAACACTGCAATCCAGTTCGTTGGTCATCTAGGGCATGCCGGGAACAGTGAAGACAAATTGCAGCTGATGCCCGCCTATCTGAGCCAGCGTTATGAGTGTGATCAGAAATGCGTGGCCGGCAAAGACCACATCATTGAGTCGGACAGCACTGTCCTGGCTGAGTCGTCCCGAAATTGAATAGTTCATGCAGCTGTTGACCTCGCCGAAGGCCAGACAACATGGAACAACCAAGCTTGGTGGCCGTCCTGCCCATGATGGCTCTGCCGGTAGGCCGTTCGAATGCCCGGCGACCAAAACAGGAGCGCATTGAAGAGAAAGTAGCAAGCAAAGCCAAACTCAGCTAGTGAGCATAGATGCAAGACATGCCATGCCGAAGTTGCATCACCTAGAAAGAAAAGTTTTCGACTATTCAAGCTGAGAAACAGCATTCAGAATCCTCAATGGAATTCAGCAAAAGTCTGTGAACACAAGCCAACGGTTCACTAGACTCAGCAGACATATGCGATCTCCACAATACTCAACCGCAAAGGCACTGGTAGTCCAGCGAAAGGCCCACCACACTTCGTCTGCGAATGTTCAAGAAAACCTGGCTGCAAAAGGCAATGGCATGCAATGGCTGCAGCATGCTGCAGCGCTTAAGCTGTGGCTGCCAAGTCGGCACTGCCGCCTGTGGATAAAACGACACAGACCTTGGTTGCCGACATGCCCATCGCCAAGTTACAGATGTGGCATCGATAACATCACAAAGTTTCCCCATGTGGGGAGCCGACCACGCGAAGAAGTAGGTCCAGCCCAAAACTTCCGAAGTCCGAGCCTCACAAACGACGAAACGCAACCTCTAAAGGCTCCTAAGCCTCACTCCTCAATTCGGTTTAAGATGTAAGCGGTGAAGTTCCCGTGCACGAAAGCATCATCTACAATGAATCTACAGATCTACAAACAAAGAGAACATGCTTAGGGTTATTTTATGTTATTTTGCTACGGAAACCTACCGAAACTGTTGATGCGGAAGAGCTGGGCTTACGTCAAGTAAGGCAGTGCTGTAGTCGGGGTCGGTTCGCGTGTCCATGGCAAGCGCACTCGAATTGACCCCTTTACACACAAGACATGTCCTCTGCTTGGCCGCAAACCTGGCAAGCTTAGTTGTACAAGATGCACATCAAGTTACGACTGTCGTGACTCAAGAGGCTTTCCGTAGCCCACTCTGACTCTTGAACAAGCGAAAAATCGGGGTACGAATATCAAGCTCCACTTGATCTGCTATACATCGCAACCCCCTTTCTTCACACTCAAGGCTTTTCAGTACATAAGGCTCTCCAGTGCATCAACATTCCTCCTCTTTTGGAGTGGCGCCACTCCAAACGCTTCACCGATGCACATTAGCCTTCTGGTAGAACTTGGCCGTGCGTCACCTTGTAGTACAAGGGGTAATTACCATTGCAGTCGTAGCAGACTGGCATCTGCTTCAGTTTAGTTTTGTTGGCGTGCCTCAAACCATGACAGTTAGGCACTGCATGAAGACGATCTCCATGCTCCGACATCACAAAACTTTTGCTCAGGCGACGGTACTGCCCATTCTGTGCACTCTCCAAAGCCGCTCGCAAGTCCGGGTCATCTTCTGCTCGAACACCAACTCTTGTAGTAGCCGCCGCACAGGATGTAGCTGGTGTTGTAGGCGCCGAGCTTCCCACACTTGTAGTACCCAAGGGCTCGACTGGAGCCTCTCTCGCATTGGACATTGTGACCTTTGGTTTCTCCTCAAACATCGGGTCCGAAGAGCTCGCACTCGTCATGGAAGCTAGCTCTTCTTGAAGCGCCCTTGAGGCCTGATTCCGGATCCTCATCAGTCTCCGGGCTTTTGCCAAAGTCGCCTCATCATCCCCAAAGAGCTTGTGCGCAACCCACTTCAAAGTTTCCCAAACTCCCAATAGCGCCACGCCACCGATCAACAACAGCCCGTAGAACTCGAAACTTCCATCATAGTCCAACGGCTTCTTGTTGTAGATCTCCGACGCCTCTGTCTTGGGAATACTGTTCATCATCATGAGCCACACAAACATCCTCAGCATGTCATAATACTCGGGGGCCTGCAACGACTTGATGATCACCTCTTGGTCCTTCTTCTCAAACTCATCTGCCGTACACATTCCCCACAACCTTCTGAGCTCGACAAGTCTCGCAACCGGCACTGGCTTCGTCCCCATGTCGGCCACCTGAACTTCACCCGGGGTGTGTATCACCTGGATTCTACCCTCACTGGTTTCCATCCTCAAGTGGCGAGCCTTCACTTTCAGGTGCCGAGTCTTCCATGAGCCAGGCCATGTGGTTGCCAAGCCACACGCCGCGGTATTGTCCACTCTCAAGACCAACGGTTCTTCGCTGTCTTCCATGGACACTTCGTTCACCCACGCCTGAAGTCCCGCAGCCTGTTGACTGGCATCCAACAATTCCACCAACTCCGCCTCCGCAGCAGAGAGAGCAATAGTTGGCTGTTTTGTCATTCTCCACGCTGCGAAACCTCCATAAGTAGCCGTGGTCACACAACCAAAACTCGATCTCCTTGCGGCGCGAAGCTTGCGTCCGAATAGGCGACGACTGGTCCACCTTGTCCATCGTAACACAAGCCCATTGTAGGCGTAGCTGCCAAATATCTCATGGTCATCTTGGCCAGCCGAATCGCAGCGTTTGGATCCTTAGTAGCCGCGCTGCAAACATGAGCCGTAGCAAACCCCACATCTGGCCGAGTCCGCGTGACCAACCACAACAACTCTCCGGCCATCTTTTGTGCCTGCTTCACCAAGTCACCATCGACAAGCACGATCTCCTCCTCATCGTGCTCTTCGTTCTGTGGCATGCTCTCCTTTGACGCTGGCACCTGTGAAGGCTTAGCTGCCTCCGCCGGGTATCCTCGAAGGAGCTCAGCCACATAGCTCCCCTGTGAAATGTGGAAGCTGGTGACATCTCCCTTTCCCAACCACTCCCACGGCGAACACTTCCAGCCTTCATCTCCGTCAGTGCCCTTGGTGAGCCACTCGTACATCACCTTGATCATGTCTTCGGGGCCCAACATCATGGCATCATCCACGTACACTATCATCATCGCGAGCGTGGTGGATTCACGGCCTACTTCTACCAACACCAGACCGCTGGGTCTGTTTCCATTTGGAAGAACACACACTGCTCGCGCCCAACTTTCAGCTTGGCTCGACTGATCCTTCTGTCCCTGAAGCTTCCCCAAAGTCGAGGTGCCTCTCTAAGGCCATAAAGCACTCGGTCCACCATATAGGCCGTGTTTGGCGGGGCACATCCCGCGTCCACCACGACCGTTGGCATGGTGATCGCATAGCGGACCTTGGACTCAGTCATTGGTGTAAGTGTGAATGCCGAATTCACATCGGTCACCGCTCCATGCCACCTCTTCTTTGCCCCGTAAGACAACGAGCATCTCACACTCTCGGCATTCGCTGAAGCGGTGTACACCTCCACCTCATTGTGAATGTAATTCCCACAAATCACAATCCTCGAACGCCGCTTGAAAAGCCCATCCCCTTCCCCTGGTGGCTTCGCAGTGCGCACTGTCTTGGCCGGAACCAATACCAGCTCACCTTGTGCCGCCTTCTCCTTTGCTTCATGTAGCGGAAGACTGCGAAGCGTTCCTGATCCTTCCAGGGTCTGAACTTCCTTAGCGATGCTGGGGGTCCACTCTTGCAGATGACGTTTGACTTCTTGAAGGTCCACTGTATGCACCGTTTCCAAGGGCTTGGCCAACGACTGCAACATCTCCTCCACATTTTCCGCGGTCCCATTGCTCACCGCCATTCTCATGAGGTTCACCCTGTTCTGTTGCCTCGTGTTGTCACTCACCGCAAGGATCTCGTTCATATAGTCGACGGCTTCATCCAACTTATAGAACATCTGGCGCTCCCTTTGGCTTGCATACTCCCCTCGGGCTTCGCGAGCTCGTCGTACTTGCCTCTCCTCTTCAACCAGGTCCGACAACCACGTCACCCTCCTCCTCAAGTGCTCCTCCTCATCGTGTCCCAAAGGCATAAGAGGTGTAGATGTCATAACAACGTTCTCCTGGCTCCCTTCTGGGCAGTATCGTATTGCCCAGCGAAGTCGTAGTTCTACCCTTTCGCCTGGAAGAACTGTGGTATCCATCCTTTCTCCACTCAGCTCCGGGAAACTGTCTGGAAGCCTTCTTGAACTGGTAGAAGAACGCGACACTGGTCCCATTGGTGCCATTCCTGAGCTCACTTCCACGCCCTCTTCTGTCGGGGGTCTTTGCAATGTTGACTCACTCGAAGAACCTGGGCCCGTAGTTCCCGTTGCCGGTGCCATTGGAGAGCCCTCCGTGGAGTCTGTAGGGATCGGTGGCACTGGCGGTCTAGGGTCAGCATGACCAAACATTCGCAAGCGAGGCTGTCTTTCTGGAAGCACAAAACCCAACTCTGAAAGGTCCTCGCACTGGTGATCGTTTAGCTTCTCCCACTTGCTGACCGTGTACCCAGTGATCACCACTCCATCTCCATCTTCTCCCCGCAAAGGTGCACGCAACCTGTCTGGGCGTACTGTTGTTGGCCTTTCCACACTGAAGAGCTGCCCTGCAACTTCCTTTTCCCTGAGCCACATGGCCTTGTGCTTCCCATAGAACTCATCTCCCGGCTTCATCTCCTGCCACACACAGCTTCCCTTGGAAACACTGAGCGGCGAAACCAGGTTCACGGTGGACTTGAGGTTGAAAGCATCCCTGTGGAGAGGCATCGTAGCGTTTTTCACCAAAGCTACCGAAGTGAAAACCTTCCCTGGGTGATCTATACTCAACAACCTCGTCGCCCACTCAGCCTCCTGGGTGAACTGCTCCGTCGCGACCGTGATGCTTGTGACTTGTGATTCCTCCATGCTGATAGGCTCCCAAGTTCACGTACGCAGCGCCCTCCCAAGCTTCCCCGTCCTTCATCTGAGGTCTCTCTACCTTTGCTTCTGGAGACTCCCAAATGGATGAAGCAAGGAGCCTCTCCACCAAGGCCTGTCGGCTCTTCACATCAAGAGCCCTCACCTCTGGGTCTGCAAGCTTGGTCTTCTTGCGCAAACGTCTTGTTGGCTCCACCAAGTCCACAACGAACTCTTCCTCTTCTTCGTCTTCAACTTCATCGTCTCTCACCGTCCTCATACGCAGTGTCCGAAGCCAAAGTCCATCATCGAGCCGAACAACATGTCCATCCCTCACGTCGTCTGCTGGGCCCATGTAGGTACCTCTCTCCCACCTTGGATCGAAAGGTCCACGGTCCTTCTTGGACTTTACCCATACAACTGAACCAAACTTCACATCTGGAGCCTTCTCGCCGAGCTCCCTGGCATTGTGAAGCTTACAAGCATGCTTCATCGCGCAAGGCCAAAGCTCCTTGTCCAGCTCTGCATCCTGAAGATGAAGCCTCGCCTTGCCCTTCAGCCACTTCACGTGGCTCTCTGCCGTGGCGTTGTCCCTTGCACGGCACCATCTTCTCAACGGCTTTACCCTGAACTCCCTTGCCCTGTCGGAGTGGATCCGTACAATGGGCAAGCCCAGTGTACGGATCCGTATGTGAAGATCTTGGACGGCTTCCAAGATCTCCTTGCCACGGTGCCTTTCAAGAGGAACGCAGAACCGCAACGCCTGCATCTCCATCGGCCTCTTCAAATCCTCCACCCTTTTTTCCATTCCTCCTCCTGTGCATCCGCACCTGGGTCCTCTGGACCCTGCTCTCCGTCCTCCGGGTTGCCCTCTTCCTCGGCCAGGAACTTCTCCGCCTCCTCCTCATCCGGCATCCTCAGGGACATCTCTAATCTTGGGACACAGGTAAGTGGCCGCAAGCGCAAACTTGTAACGGCATCCCCGAACTTCGTCTCGACCCACATCTGCAAAGGGGCCTGCGATTTCAAGGCTCAGCACGTACGCGTCCCTGTGAACCACCCTTCGTGCCCCCCGACGCGGCTAAGCACACCGAGCAATCTCTCCGATAAGGCCAATGTCCCCGATCCAAGTGGGCCTTCCACTCTGTCAACTCGGCCTTTGTCATGGCCTTCTTCAACGTGACCCTTCCTCCTGCAGCATTCCACTCGTGTACTGCATCTGCCAAGGTGATCCTGAAACCACGTGGCCAAACAGACTGGTCTGGGTCAAGATTCTCTGTGCTCACCCATGCTCTTGAGTCCCTCAGGCCATGGATGCCCAAGCGCAGGTTCGTCAAGCAACATGTAGGCCTCCGCAACATGTGACCCAATGCTCCCTGCTCAAACTGCACCTTCTCGAACTGGGTCACCCGGATGAACTCCTTGACAAACTCCGTCCTCCAAATGGACACGCACTGTGTCTTTTGGCAACCTTCCGGCAAATACTCTCTTGGATCTTCTGGGAACTCCAAGCAAAAACCCACCTTGTTTCCAGGCACTTCTGGGTGGCCCACAACCACACCATGCGAAGCAACATGCGGTTCTCCTTCTTGACCTTCACTGCCTCGTCAGCACCCACTCCTTCCCGTAGACCCCAACGCTCGTGGTTGGACCGCACTGGTCCTGGACCCTCAGCTCCTTCTCGGTAACGAAACAGCGAGAACGTTTTTTGTGGCGGTCCACCCACCACGTGCTTTATCCTCCTCTGCAGTGCCGCCCATAGCAAAACACCGTAGATCTTGTCATCGTTGAGGCTCCAACCCCTCTGCAGGTCTATCTCAAGAAGTCCTGGAAGATCACGTAAGGGATCGTTCTTCACACCCTTGCCCGAGAACATCACTCTGGGGCCTGCCACAACTGTCTTCTCTTTGCTCGGTTGAACGGAAAGGCCTTCATCCACCTCCACGCCTCTTCACTCGAGCTTGGGATAGAAGCCATGACCTTCAGCTGGTCCGCCATTGGCACGTGATGCATAAAGGGTGCAGTAGAACAGCTCGAACTCCTGCTTCACGGTCTCCTGCGGTCACACACTCCCTGATCGCATCCGTCCAGGTCCACTGAGTGTGGTTCTTTGTGGCTGCCACCGCCGCCATCAGCGTTGCCAAAGACTCCATGGTCTCTGCAAGCTTCGCTTCCTCCAACTCACCAATGAGCCTCAAGGCGTCCGCCTGCATGATCTCTGGACACGCTGATCTTGTATAGACTCGAATCTCACCTTTCGTTGGGTGACGTAGGAAGCACCCGCGGCGATTCCAGCCAAACTCATACCCCAGCTGCTTCACCACAGTGCCCAGGGGTACAATGGCCTGAGTGCCTGCTGAGCCCAGAATCGTTCCCGCTCTGGATTGCTGCATCTCGACCTTGTTCTCCCCTGCCAAAGTCACACTCACCTTGCCCATGTCACTCACCACATCCTTCTCGGTCCTAGCCCGCAATGGATGCGTTGCACCGGAGTCCAATAAACCCATGCGACAAATCGAGGCCAGCTCCTTCAAGGCCGGCGTCTCATGCAACTCATGCAACTTCACATCCTCGACCCTGAAGACCTTCGCCTGCGCCCCGCTCTTTTGCTCCATAAAGGCCTTCATTAGCCTCTGAGCATCCTCCAAGAGCTGCTCCACGGGAACACCCTGAACAGGTGCTTCGCTTGGCGCCTGTGGTGTGGCTGTCGCCTCTGCTGGCGTAGAGGACTGTGGCGAATCTCCAACTCCCAAGGCCTTCTGCTGAGCCTCCTTCTTTGTAGGACACGACGTAGACAAGTGCCCCTTTGCTCCACACTCATAGCAGCGATCCCTGCATTCTGCCTTGCAGAGATCCTTCATGGTGTGCTCAAACCGACAGCTCTTACCCCGCCGACACCCTTCATCCGACAAGTAGAAGCGGCACGGCTTTGCGCCTCCTTTGCCGTCCTTCGTGGGCGACGTGGGCAGCTGAGGCTGCTCCTTCTCCATTGCTCGCAAGCGAGGTGCAGGTGTTGGATCCGCACCCGGCTTTCCTTTCTTCTTGTACCCCATCTGCTCAAACTCTGCCAAGAACGCCCGGTGGATCGCCAAGACATTGCCCTCCGAGGGCAGGAAGTCTACCTTCAAGTGGTCCGCAAAAGGTTCATGCGAAACCCGACTTCTGGGTGATCACCAACCGGCTTTTCTTCAACATCCCATCCAACGCCTTTATAAAAATAGAAGGATCCGGAATGCTGAGCTTCAGGTCCTTGGCCCGCTGGTAGTACCTCAACCACTGCCTCAGTCCTTCCACAGCGTCCTGCGTAGCGGTAGATGGCTCGGGCGCCTCAATCTTCTTCAGAAGCTGCCCCTTCTCCAGTGCACTACCCGGCCGGTACAACACCATCAAGCGAGCCAACACATCCAACGTACTCTTCGCCCTTGAAGCGATCAACTCCTTCTTGACGTCCTCAGGCACCGCTCCAAGGAGAATCGACGCTCCCCTTCGGTCAACTCTCACCCACTTAGCCTCGCCCATTTCGGCGTAGGTTTCATAGAGAGCCTTCCGTACTGGTCCGCGGCCTGGTACTTGTCGTAGTAGTCCTGAGCGTCTCTTACCACCAGCTTCCACCACTCTGCACTGCTAGCAGATATGTCTCCCATGGTATGCTCCAGGCAGTACAACCAGTCACCGAAGTCCACTGAAGAACTATCCGAAATCTCCGCAAGCTTAGGCCCCTCTGTAACCTTGCTCAAGTCTTCTGGCTTTCCACCTCCCTTGATCACCTTTTCCAGGCCGTCCAGGAGACGGGACATTGGGTCTGGTGGCATCTGTGGTGTATTACTGGGCCCCATTGGCAATGTACTCATAGAGGTCGTCGGTGCCGATGTTGAACTAGGCCCCACCTGCAAGCCCGATCCCCCTAACGTAGAAGATCCTGTAGGCAAAGACGGCGTAACCGTTGTGGTAGTCCCATGCAGACTGTAAGCCCGACCCCCCTGTCATAGAAGATCCTGTAGGCAGCGCTGGTACACCCGTTGTGGTACTCCCCGACTTGTAAGCCCGATCCCCCACTGGTAGACGGTCCTGCAAATGTTGGGGTTCCCGACGACATAGAAGTCCTTCCTAATAAGCCCGATGCCCTTGGTGTAGAGGATGTCTCTTGCTTCCCTGGTGTCGTAAGAGCCTTTGCAGCCAGGTATCCTCCAAACGCTTGTGGAGGACCTTGCGGTTGAACCCACTGCTTCGGCCTTTGACCCTCCAGCTCTCGAGCACCTTGAAGCCGTTCCATTTCACGTCTCAGCTCGCTGGCTTCCTGTCGTGAGGCTTCCAACTGCTCCACCACGCCACGCAGCTGTCTTCTGACCTCGTCTTGGACGCTTCATACGTGCTGCCACCACTTCCCCCAGAGCTCCCTTCATAGCCTCGCTGAAGGTGTCCGTACAGCAACGGAACCCGTTGCTCCATTCTCTGAAGCTGTTCCCTTTGTCCCCGTGTGAGCAAGGGTCGCTCTCCATGGGTTTGCCCCATCCACGCTCCTTGCTCCGACTCAGGCGAACCCATCGCTCGCCCTCCACTCGGAGCCGACCCCAGCGGTGACGGATTCCACATCGGACCCGGTTGCTGGGCCCTCATCTCTTGGAACAAAGCCCCCAGCCTCTGGATCCAAGCCGGAGCCGTCCTCCTTGTCGCCATCATACTCCACGAAGCTTGAGCAGCGTTCATTTGCCCATACGGCATTCCCCCTGCCTCCGCAGGTATTCGTTGCGACTCATCCACTGAGCCCTGCCGGCCATCCACCGGCCAACCAGCACCACCTGGACTTTGACCCGTAGCCACCGCCACAGCCATCGCCCTCACAGCAATGCCAGCTTCCTGCGCTTGTGCTACCTCCTGACCACCAGCCACCATCACGGTGTCATCGTCGTCAGGTAAGGCAGTGCTGTAGTCGGGGTCGGTTCCGTGTCCATGGCAAGCGCACTCGAATTGACCTTTTTACACACAAGACATGTCCTCTGCTTGGTCGCAAACCTGGCAAGCTTAGTTGTACAAGATGCACATCAAGTTACGACTGTCGTGACTCAAGAGGCTTTCCAATCGGGGGACGAATATCAAGCTCCACTTGATCTGCTATACATCGCAACCCCCTTTCTTCACACTCAAGGCTTTTCAGTACATAAGGCTTTCCAGTGCATCAACAGAAACCCATATTTTCCTACGGAAACCTAACGAAACCCATATTTTCCTACGGAAACCTAACGAAACCCATATTTTCTTGCGGAAAACCCCTAAGCTTTGAGTAGGCACAGGGCCTGGCACAACTCCAAGTCATGTCGCAGTCGACGTGCTCATGCATTCGTGTACAAGGCTCCCTTCGGCAATGAACTCCTGCATGACTACGGTCATCTCCAGTCAAGCCCGAGGTCCGCGCACCCCAGCCGGGTTGGTTGGCAGGCAGTAGGAGCCCTGCATGCCGGCATCTTGTCAGCGACATTGGGTCAACGCTTCGAAGTCACCACGAGCATCCACGAGCCTACCACCACACCGAGAACCAGCGCTCCTTGAAGGAGGAAAGTGGACTTCGAGCTCCGCAAGAAACCCTTCTCAAAGCCGAGGGGCCAGGAACCCAAAGATTGTCCAAGGACACGCCTGGGCCTCAGACGAATATTCAAGGCTGCTTTTACATAAAACTATGGACGTCGGCGCTGTCCTCCACTGCAGCTCGGGCACACTTCTGCTCTTCGCTGCTACCCTCCTCGTCGCCCCGGGGTGCCAAGGCCACATCCATGGAAGGGTCCGCCGCAGAAATTTTGCGGCGCATCCAATCAGACGAGGCTGGGATTCGTTGAAAGCAAAGTTGACTCTGGGCCAGTGCTGTTGTGGCGTAGCAGTTTGGCACTTGCTTGCTCTACGCACTTGCCTGAACCGGCACCGTCAGTTACCCGCCAGAAGCACTCAACCAGCTCGACACGAAGAAGTCACAGGAGCAGGCTGAACCATTAGGTCCCGCAAGTTTGGCGATTTTTCCTGCTCTGCAATTGCCGCTAAGTGTAGCTGCCGAAATTGCGGCTAAGGTCACCCCTCTGGTACAGGTTCTACTGGGCCGCTTTGCAACCTCTGGCATGAAATCTAAACGTTCACGTCGTTGGTGAGGTTTGTAGGGACCCCCAAAAAACACATAAAATATAAGGAACCTACTATTGGGGTATAAGGGCCCCTACTAGGGGGATTCTACAAGACTGTATCTTGGGGATCCTAAATCCTAAGCCCTAAACCCCTAACCCTAAACCCCCTTATGTTTATGTGGTTTTGGGGCCCTAGGTTTGGGCAAGGCTTTCTATTTACCGCAAACCTCACGCAGCGCGCCAAATTTCCAAACGACTCGGAGAGATCTGAATAGTTCGAGCGAATTAGGGGTCCCTTTTTGAGTTTAGGGTTTAGGGTTTAGGGTTGAGTACATGAGAAAGTGTCTGTTAGAGGCGTTCTCGGCCAGTTGATCTGGCTCTGGAACCAACTTATCATGTAATAATGATATAATAGACTCCCAAATTTGGAGAAGCTCTTTGATCCGGTAATCCTCGTATGTCCTACATAACCTTTATGTAACCCCTGTAACTCCCTATAGCTAGAGTTCTTACAGTGAGATCACCTGGTGTACGCCTGCCTCCCCCAAAGCCGCGTAGAGCTGGGGAAAGCAACCCACCATGACCCCGTCGCAAAGGTCCTTCGGAGTCACCTGAGCTAAAAGGAGATCCTAAGACGGACGTCCAGAGAGCCTAATAGCCCTTAATTAAAGTATGTTATATAACTTACCTGGGGCCTGTTTAGCCTCATTATTATTGGGGATAACCAATTATTATAAGTATAAACCCAATAATTATTAGTTTAAATAGGCCCCAGGTAAATCATATTGGGGACCTCACTCCACAACCCAGCTTCGCAATCTCACGATGAATGAGGATGCCTTGTCTACAGCTCTGACTGTATCTCTATACACCCCCCCCCCCGGCTCCTTCTGTTTACCGCTCTATCCTCTACCCCCCATCCCACCCCCATCCCCCCCCCTCCCTATCTCCCAACATCCCCTGTAAACCTCTATATCCAGCCGCCTATATCCACCTAAATTCTTCTATACAATAAGGGTTTCTGCAGCAAGCCACTTCGCCACTGCCGCACTGCTCCATAGTCCCATTCGCCAGATTCCGTCTGATGGCGCACTGGTCGCAGGCCATGAGAAGCATCCCATTCTCTTTGGCCACCTTGGCCAACCGCTCCCCTACAGGATCCCCCTTCTTGAGGCAGAAAATGTTGTCATCGAAGAACATCATCCCGGCCACCTTTGCCCCGTGGTTGCCGCTCTCGATCTGAGGCAAGATCATCTGAGCAAGTTTGAATGTGGAGCTCATGTTCGTGGCGAAGACGTAGGCAACCTTCATGGAATCATCACCGCCTTTGGCACACATAGCCGTCATGACCTTTCTCTGGGAAGGCTTTGAAAAACGTGCTTGACCAGCTGCTGCAAGTCCTGCTGCCGCTACGCCTGCAACACTGAACCTTGCAATGCTGAAGCCGCCAGTAGTAGCTTCGGGAGCCTGGGTGAGAATCCGTCTATGCACAGTAACTGCCGGAATCTGAGGCGAAACAATGGCTGTTCCTTGCAAGCCTGTGGCGTAAAGCGTCATTGCACAGCTTGCCATCTTGATGCTCACAGCCACGTCTTTTGTGCTTGTCGTGAGGCGCTACGAGAGCCAAATGGCTTCAGTTACACCACATTGTGGAACACTCCCAACAACCCTAAACCTCAAACCCACCGTCTGCCCTACTCATTTTCAAGAGGCCATTGGCTTCCCTTTTTGCATCGGGCCTTTACCACCGCCCGGTAATGGCTTCCCTAAACCCTAAACCCTAACGTAAAATGCCAACCTGCGCCCTTTCGACCCAGATTCGACCGTCAGAGATCTGGGGCCAGGGCCAATACATGCGGAAGCCATCAGCAGCATCCTGGAGAAACGACTCCCACGCCAAGAGAGTCCCATTCTGCAGGCCTATCGTTCTCTTCACAAAGGAGCAGAAGCACCTTTTTTCTTCAGCTGTGCATCCACCAGCTGAAGCTACTCGTTAACACTCTCTGGACAACCGCCAGCGGTAAGACTCATGGGGAGTTCGAGTGCCGGGAGCATGGCTTGCTGACCTCGCGCCCTACTGGAAATTACACGACCCGACCACAGCATAGGTGGGTGACTCCCAACTCGCATCGAGCGCACTACGGGACGCGTAAGACCAAACAAGTGCTGGCTGTCACCAAAGCGCTTGCCTCAGTTCACAGCAGAAGTTGCCCAAACCGATGGAAATGTTGCATAGCCAGTTGTTGCCGAAGTGCAAGGATCACTGGGCCTTCCAGGCTTCGAATTCCCGCTGGGCTCGTTCTCGTAAACCTTCACGGTCCGCTCTTGCTTGCACCCGTCCAATGAGATTCCTGAGCACGGCTACTAGTATCTAGGACCTGAATGCGACGAGCTCCGAAAAAAGGCTTTCATGACGCCGAGAGTCTCTTGAGCGGCATCGATCTCCCAGTCCTAAGACAAAGATCATAACAAGTGCCCTGCTCCGAAGCCTCAGCTGAAGCAGTCCTCCAGCCCCTCTTCTTCATCCCCATCTTCGGGGTTCCAACCCATGGACATCAGCAGCCGGCGCTCCTCGCCAGTGAGATGAGGGCAAGCGGGATGGACTTCGCAAGGCCCCACGTCCAAAGTTGCCGTTCACCGGAAACACAGGCCTCATCTGTGCAGGGGGCCGGCTCTTCTTCTTCTGCCGGCTCTGCAGGAGCAGGCTGCGACGCACTGCCTGAAATACCCAGTTTGAAGAACTGCGACTGGCTCGCGATGTGTCCTTCCGTTTTGAGTTCTCAGTGCCCAACTACCCGTTGCGGGCGTAGCTTGTGCTGCCGCCGGGCGTGGGGCGTTGCACATCCTCAGATGAATGCTTCCACTTTGCAGTTCCACAGACAAGCATGACGGGACTACCGATATCTGTGACTCTTCTGACAGGATGCGCGCAAGCAGTCCGGTGGTTCGGGTTGCGGAAGGAGCAAAGCGGGCACTCCCACTCAGCCTGCCCAGGCAAAGCACCACAGATGCCAAGTCGCAAAGCCGGGGCCCAGCCTCTGCAGAGGCAGCCGCTGAGGAGTCGCCGCCTCGCTGCAGAATCCAAGCTTATGGAGGGACTCAAGACCCGGCGACTCGAAAGTGCTGCGCATCAATCTGTCCGACTATGACTCTCTGCCGAGTAGCCAGATCGAGGGGCCTGACGGGCACAAGGATACGAAACTGAAGGCGGCAGCCTTTAAAAAGTTCGTGGCTTGTACCGATTAGAGCTGTCTCAAAATGGCATGCAACCAGCCTCGCAAACTTCACAGTAGGGCAAAAGCCCAATGTTCTTGAAAGAACAGACGTTGCAGGACCTGACAATCGGAGAGGCGCCTTTCCTTCGGTGCTCTGTTTGACTCGAGTCTTGCTCTGTTCGGGATCGTGGGACAGCACCCAGTACACGGGTCGATTATCATGCGAAAGCTCTGACTGAGCCTCTGCAAAACTTCCCACGTCGGGAACAAGACAAGGTCGTTAGTGCACTGTTCTCTGCAGGCCGGCGCCCGGAACTCCAATTTGGCCCAACGAACAGGATTGGTGTTGCTGCCACGGGGCCATTCAGCAGTCTCGTCGCCTTCCTGAGTTGTCTCATACGCATAGCCTGCAAAAGCCTGACAATCCGAGTCATAGCTTTCTCTGAATGCTGGAGCCCAACGAGACCCTAGATGTTATGCTGCTGCCGTGCATCGCTGTCCTCGTCGCCTGAGCAACACAAGCAAGCAAAAACCAGTATGGAGCCAGCAAACAATCGAAGCATTGGTTACACTTGATTAATAGGCAGGCAGGAGTGATCTATCGTTCAGGCGTTTGAGGCTGGCAATTGGCAGTGGCAGACTGCATTGCAGGTACATGTCTGAGTCTCACGAAGAGCAGTTGCTGCGCAATACGTGTGACATGTCCACAAGAACGATTGCCAGACAAGGTGCCATCTTTGCGCGACGCACCACACATCTCGCCTTCGTGGCACAATGGCAAAATCTCTGCCAAACCCAACATGCACTACAGGTCATCTTCATGGAATGGGCGAGCGGCAGAAGGGCAAGGAGGCATCATTTTCGAAGTTGCCTCAGAGGACATGAGAGAGCCGGCAGATCAAGCATCGGAGGCGACGGCCAAAACTGCTTCGGGTATGCTTCAGCGATCCTTTTCCAAGGTGCACTGGTGGCATCTCCAGGACTCGATCACCTGACCAGAAGATTGAAGCCCCTTACTTCTCCGAGAAAAGTCGCTGTCAGGTGAGCCTCCTCCCGCGTTGCATCTTTCTTGCGCTCACGCTTGCAGCGCCCGTCGGCTGTAACCTGATGCTTCGCCTGCAGGGAAGGTGGACTCATGTCGAGCTCAAAAATTTTGGACCGTCGGCCCGCCTTTCCCATGAAAGGAGGGGTCAAACCATGGTGCCAGGAGGCATACCAAGTTCTTGCATAGCGAGGCAGCCCTCAGTTTCCAGTAACTGAGGGGCAGTGCTTCGAAGTCGAGACACAGGATCAATCACGAAGGTGATGGGCTGCGAGGTGCTCAGAATGCTTCTTCCCTGGAACTATATGCCTTGCTTGCATGGAACACTTGCGGGCTCGCCGTTGCTTTGGCGCGGCTAAACATGTCAGTGTCCTTCTCATGTTCATGCCATGTGCGAGAGCAGATGTCCAGCATGCGAGAAACCCCCAAAGCCATGGCGACAAAACTTGGACTGAAGCACTCAGTGTACGAGGACTCCTGTGTGTACCTGTGCTAGGAGCGGGCGGCTTCCTTCAAAGCAGGGGCATCCACGAGCATGCTGTTGGTGGAGCTCTACCCGATCGTGCGAATTAACTGGGCTAAGGCTCAGAAGGGTGGCCTCTTGGGAAAAGCCTGCCAACCATCTTCGGAAGGCTCGGAGTGAAACCGCTGCACCTACCAACCTCCCCGTAGTTGGGTCGTTCCAGCGGTGGCAAAGGCAGCTCAAGCAAAGATGTGCTAACAAAAATGCGCATCTCACGGCAGCGATCTCCCTCAGTCTGCCTCGCGAAATCAAAATCAAACAACATCAGAATCTATAACTACACTGAGGGGCTCAAGAAACGGCAATACTGCAACGGTTGGTAATAATGATGCCAGACAGCAAGAACACGACCGGTGCCGATGGCAGCACCAAGCGGACAGACATCTAAGCACCGCCTCGGAAGACTGCAGAGGCTCGGGTGGCGCACGAGGTGTCTTCGATCTGCTTGGGTGAGATCCTCGAGAGCTGTGCTGTGACTTCGGAAAACCAACTCCAGTTCCGAGTCCTTTGACCCTTAAGCCCTCATAAGCAATTCACCCCAGACTCTAAAAGTCAAAACCACTGCCCTTCAGACGGATTTTGGCATGTCAGGGACAAGAACGGCCTGGCCTTTGCGATCTGATGCGAGGCTCAACTCGCGAAGCCATTCGTAGCGCCACGCATCCGAGGTCCCTCGATCCGGCAGACCACGCCAATCTGCTTCCTTCCCAGCCTCCTGCTGGGCCACTCGGTAAATTTCCAGAAGCTCGCTGTCTCTGAGTTTCAATGGCCGTGGTGGTTCACTTGGGCAGGAGGAGGAGGCATCTCGTCCGGGCTCGTGCAGAACTCCACCAATGAGAGAAGGCGGCGAGATCAGCAAGGTCTGCTTCAGTTGTTCTGCATATCCCGCCAACTGTCTGACATGACGCTCGAAAAGTTGCTTCTGACTTGGGGTCATGGCCGTCGGGTCTTCGACGCCTTTGGCTAGGTGATGCAGGACTAGCAACCGCACCCCATCAAGCAAGGAAGCATCGGCTGGGATGCAAAGGCAGTCATGGTCGGTCTCACAAGACTCGCTCCGTATATCTGCCTTGACGATGTTGGATGCTTCTGTACTGATGGAGGTAGGTGTGGCCACCGAGCGCCCAAGTACTCCGCGATCCTCGATGCCCGCTAGCCGCGTGCTCATGGAATCGACGATCTTCGGCCGCTGGGGCAGGGCACGGACTGCTGGGATGGACGACTCGACGCCCGCATCGTCGGAGTGCCAGTCCCAGGCATCCTCTGCTTTGCCGGCCTCCACTTCAACGTCCACAGGCTGCCGACCAGATTTGACATCTCTCTCGGAAGGGTCTTCCGGTGTGGCTGCGGGCCTGTGAGCCGTCTTGGATAGCTGGCTATCGCAAAGTGCTGACCCGACGCATCTCAAAGAGCTGGCCAAGACTGCGCAAGCTCCTCGCCGACCTCCAAAGAAGCATGTGAGCGCACCGTGCCGTGCAGCCACGCTCGATCAGCAATGAAGAAACCCCGCCACTACTTTCAGCACTTCTCGGACCAAGAGACCTTTGCAGCGAGATAAACCTTCGGTGCAGCCACCGCGCGCCTTACTTTGAGGTCTGGGCCACGACAAAATCAGAAGTTGAGTCGTCAAGGACTCTCCAACTACACAGAACCTCTACCTCCGAGCACGGCACCGCTGACTTCGACAGGCCCATGGTCGGGCAGACGACCAAAAGCCCGGTCCTAGTGAGTGGGTTCCTGCTTGCTTTGCCTGCGATATTGATGATTGTCCGTCGTATCCAGACACCAGTCTTTGAAACTCGACACGAGCCGTAAGCTGCAAGTTGAAGGAACACCGCATCCAGAGATCCATGATCAAACTTACTCAGCCTCGGCAAGCCCGCCGCTCTTTGTCTTTCGGTCGTCGCGTGACGATGGTGATTAGGCTCGGGTTTTCCGATGGCTGAGGCCACCCTGTCTCCAAGCTACGAAGCAATCGGAACGCCAGGCCTCTCTGGGCCAGTCTATCAGATCAACGGCTGCTGCCAAGGGGAGGTCCGGGTCGGGTCGGTGTCGCTGCTCTAGGACTAGGACCTAAGGAGCTGTAACACCTTGCGACTCTTCTTCGTTGCCCCGACTTCCCAATGCTTTTCAGAGTGCAACGAAAGCCCTTCGCCCATGCAGCGCGCGGCCTTGCGCACACGCCGAAAGCAACTGCCTCCTTTAGAGCGCAGTGTCGAGGGCACCACGCAGCACGTGTCTGCATCTATCTTTCGTAGTCTGTACAGTGATACGCATGGGTCAAGCACGTGGGATTAGCTGGCGCTGCCAGACAAAAGATGCCGCTAGGGATTACAAGGCCTGCTCCGAGGGTCCGTTGGAAGTTAGCAGTCTTTCAAGTGATAGGTCCTGGGACAGGGACCCTACAAAAGAAACCGAGATCTTGCGAAAGCCGTTTTCAACCTTCAGAGCTGCAGCGCGGCGGCCGCGGATCATTTTGCGGATCTGCTCAAACGCAGCCTGAGCCGACGAGGGAAGTGCCTCTTGCATCCACGTTCAATAAACAAACCTTTCGGCAATGTCGCAGCGGACTAGATGACTAGATGCTGATCTGAATTTTTTTTGTGACTGGAACGTTTCGCGGTTTCTTGAAGCGCGTTAAGGCGCAGGCAAGGCCGCCGCTACGGCCCCCGTCACATCCTCCTGGGCGCCCTTTTGGGCCTCCGCCTCCCTCTGCAGGGAGAGGCTCCAGGCCTGTCCGGAAAGGCTCCCATGGCAGGTCTTGTGTGGAGCCCTTAAGGAAACACAGACTGTTAAAAAGTCCCCCAAGATGAAGTTCCTGATTCAGCCGCAGCGACTAGCTGAGCCACATCAACGGCACCCTTACGTCCATCGAACTCGTTATCATCATCGAGGTGATGTCAGGGGCTACAGTCAAACTGCAAGTCTTGCCTTCGATGCTGATGATGTCTCGCGTTCTCAAATCATGCAGCAAAGGCCACAAACACGGCCCCCATTGGGCATCTCGGCTATGCCTTCAGCGCCTCCACCTTTGCGTCGAAGCTTCCCGTCCTTTGATGTGATCACCCTTGCAGTGGTGACAATCGCCGTCGCTGTCTTCGTGTCCACTAGGAGTAGGAGTTGGAGGTATTGTAGTGGTAGTAGTGGCAGTTGTAGTGGTAATGGCAGTGACCGTTGTGTGCTTGAGCTTGTGCTTGTACTTGTAGCTTTTGCCGTTGCTGTTGCTGTGTGGTGCTGGTATTGCTGGTATTGCTGGTATTGCTGGTATTGCTGGTGCTGCTGGTGCTGCTGGTGCGCTGGTGCTGCTGCTGGTGTCGCTGTTGCTGCTGCTGGTGATGGTGGCGGTGGCGGTGATGGTGGTGGCGGCGACTTGCGGAGTTGTGGAAGTCGTGGAAGCAGTAGTTAGTAGGAGACATGGTAGTACAAGTAGTGGTAGTAGCAATAGCAGTACAGTAGGTGGTTGTGGTGGTGCTGGTCGTCCTGGCGGCGGCGGTAGTAGTAGCGGTAGTAACCGTCGTCGACGCAGAGTAGTCGTCGTCGTGCGCTGATCACCAAGGCTCTCTGCAGACATCTCTTCTGAATTCAACTTCTCTTGGAAGAGCATTTGGAAAATCGAAGGCTTGCCGCCACTCCTCATCCGCACCGACATCTGCATCTAGAAACAGGATTCAATCATGAAGAATGAGCAGAGAAGAGAAGACCTGCTGATACTGTCCACATCGAGTCCAGCCTATCTGCATCCTCGCCGGCTGGGTTCGACAGGAGGCGCTTCAATGCTGCTGCAGCCGCGCCATTCACATCTTCCGTGTCCAGGGCATCCTGGGCTGTGAACAACAAAAACTCTCCAACACCTCACATATCCTGCGGTCCACTGTATTTCGCCCCAGCTGCCAGGAACGCGGACTGCAGCGCGGAGATTGCTCGCTTCCGATCGTCTGGAAGAGACTCGAAAGCAGCACTGCGTTGTGCCATCAGATCAAACTCGTCCATGTCGCGCTCCATTGTCCTCCGAGCTGTCCCAAGTCGGCATCAACGGATCATACACACAAACAGAAACTTTCCGCCAGGACATAAAGAATCGGCTCATCAAGCATGGGGTGACTGCATGATCGGAGTCGTGACGGTCTCACACTCCCATCCGTGACTGGTTTGGGACGCCTTTCCTGCTGCAGGCCCGCCCACACAAGAGAATCTGCATCATTCTGCATTCAAGCACTCGCACCTGTGCAGCTGTCACCGGCGAGCCCATTGGCGCAACCCGCGTGCGCAAAAAAGAAAAGGGGTCAACTCAGACTTGGAAGCCTCGTCCAAACTCCCAGCAACTATTCGCACGAGGTGTTCCGGTTCGCGTGCAGCGGGCTCAGGGGCCGGGGGCTTCAGAGATCAGCCTCTTCGAACCAGGACCCTACCGCACTAACAGAGACATGATGTGGAAAAACAGGGTGAGGTGTGCGCCATCCCGAAGAAACGTCCTCTCTTCGTCATCGCAGATCTTGACATGTTGTCCATTGTGCTCCGTGGGCGAAGACTCGGAGTCCCACCAGGAAGCTGTGGGGGATCCTTCCGCTCCCTCAGAGGTCTCGCTTTCCAGCGAGGCTTCTAAGGAAGCCTTGGCCTTGAGGTGGAGCAGCGCCTTGGCGGCGGCCGCATTCACGTCCATCTCGGAATGCAGCTGGTCCAGGAAGGACTTCTGCAACTGCGAGATGGCCTCTCCTCAGTCAAGAGTCGGGCAGGCGGGGAGGTGTGTGTGTGTGTGTATCCAAGCGTATGGGACAGCTTCGTAGGCCCGCCTCTCCCTCCCTCCCTCCATCTCGCTCTCTCCATCTCTCTCTTGCTTGCTTGCTTGCTAAGGGGTATAGGGGCTGCGCGCAACCCCTTGGCCCGTAGTCCTACCCCCTCGCGGCGTGCGACGTCCAAGGTCAGTTCGGCCCCTTCCGGGGACGGTGAGGACGATCGTGAGTGCTCTTTTCACGGCCTTTGGCCATACCACGCAACTAAGCCCCAACACACATTCCATGCGACCAGGACACCGCAGCACTCCGACTGTTCTCATTCTTTCGCCAGGGCTATGGTGCAGGGGTTTTACCCCCTACACCGCGCGCCGACTGTTCTCACCCCCTCTCTCTCTCTTGCTTGCTTGCACTCGGACTCTCTCTCTCTCTCTCTCTGTCTCTCTCTCTCTCTCTTTCGGTGGAGGGGGCTGACCCCCGCCACCATGCGCCTTGTGCGCTCCCGATAGTTGCGGGTGGCAAGGGTTTCATGCACCACGGAGGGTACTGGAGGCCTCAAAAGGTCGTAAACTGCCCTAGGCGACTCGGCTTGTTCCAGACCTTTGCGGCAGCTCTGTCAACTGTCGAAAGACAAAGTATTCTTCAGAAAGGGTTTAGAGGCATCAAGGTTGTCCGAGGATCTAGCGTACGTAGTTGCTGCTCGCTCGCTCGCTCCGGGGCAGAGTCCGCAAAGCAGACCCGGGCCGAGACCCCCCCTCCCCGTCATAACGGTGGAAGAGGCTGTGGGGTCGCCGGTGGACGGGTTTGCGTCCAGCGGTAGGTAAAGCTGGTAGAGTGCGTCTGTCGGAAAAACCCCCCAACCCTGAACTTTATCGCGCGTCCCGGCCTCATCGCCGCGCCCTCTACGAAAAAAACCTAAGTCCATCAACAGGCGCACTTCCCCCAGTAAAAACAGTGGTTTGTGGTTAATCGCCCACGATAAGCAACACAACAACTAAGTGCGAAGCAGTGCAGGATCACAGGATCAGTACGATGCAAGTGGAGGTTTGGTTCGGGCGGTGCTCCCCCCATCTTTTGCAAACAACAAAGAAACAGAACACAGTGCAGTAACAACTTCTCGGCAGGAGTCCCCCGTTGCAAAAGGATGCCGGTTTAATTTCCCCCTTTTGGGTAGTTGCTGCCTCTCTCTCTCCCTCTTTCCAGGGCCTGTTTTGCTTGCCCTTGGCCCGGGTCTACCTCCAAACGAACTCCGGAACACTGTCCAACCCTTGTACCAGCACTGCCGCACTGAGCCCCCATTCAGACACTGTCTCCCTCACTCGCTCGCTCGCTCGCTCGCATCCGGGGCAAGGTCCGAAGACCCGGGCCGAGGCCCCCCCCTCCCCGTTTTGTTTGTGGGAGAGGGCTTTGGGGTCGAGAGCTAGGGGTTGTTTCCCCCCGGTCGGTGACTCTCTCTCTCTCTCTCTCTGTTTGCTTTGCTTTGCTTGCTCAGGGGTGAGAGCTGCAAGCAGTCCTTGCTTGCTCAGCGTGTGGGTCAGCAAGGCGGGCCCCGCTAACCCTGCGCACAGCGCGACGCTGCAAGCAGTCCTCTCTCTCTCTGTCTCTCCTCTCATCTGTACTTGGGCGCAATAGCGTACAGATATACGCTATCTATGTATGTGCAAACATGTACATACCCACCTACGTACGTAAATACATACATATTTGCATACTACACATATTCAAAACCAAGCTTAGGTCAGTCGTGGATCGTTTCCTTGCGTCGCCGACAGCTGCAGCTTGGTAATGATCCCACATATCAAACTCATCCAGCGGAGGCTCCTCGGTTGCACACAGTGGTCAGTGGCATCTTGCGTTCCTCCGGCAAGCCCAGCCAAGCCAAGGCACCATAACTGCATCTGTTTCATCATCCAGGGAATGACTATGAATGACCTGCTCCTCTGATCTCGCCGCCGCCATCGGTGGTGCTCTTCTAGGCTACGAGTACTATGGCCCACTTCCCACAGGACGCTTGAGCCTAACACCAGCGGCTCTTTGATTCCAAGCAAGCACCAGCAGATGCCCGGCCCAAGCTCAGCCCACGCTTGGTGCAACTCCGTCCTGAAAGTTCAGACCCGGCCTCATGCACTGCTGCGGCTTTCCATGACTCAAAACTCCGGCACAGACTGGGACGTTGGCACAGCCAGGCGATCAACAGGGCGCGTGGTTCCCACGTAATACCCATGGTTCAACTCCTAATCCACGACGGAACTGCGAGGCAACAACCGTATCTTGCAGGTACTTCGTGCCAGGCAAACTTTGCGCCGTTCCAGCCTGCCAGCGGTCGAAAGCGTACAGCACCGCCGTCTGCAGCTGCACACGACTGATCGGCTTGGCCTATGCCCTGCAGCAAGCGCTGCTTCTCCTCCAGGGTCATGAGCGGCAGCCTTGCCGCATATTCAAAGACAAACTAGATGGGACATTAACGAGGCATGGGAAACACGGGCAACACAGACTTCAATGGAAACAAAGTGCCCGGCAACCGCTCGGCGAGGGCATAGCTTTCGTCCCAAGATCGGGGGGACGGCCTGAGTCCGAGAGAGCGACGTGCTGTCGGAACTCCCCAACCCTCCGCAAGATCGAGGACGAGGAGGCCGCACTCTTGGCATCGGGAAGCTCAAACCTCTGCAACTGACATCATGAACCTCTAAGGCTGAGTCTAGCCCAGGAAAAGCGCGCTCCGCGCCTGGAACTTTGAAGCTGCAGGCTCCGCTGTAGCTCCGTTGGCCTAGGGAATCCTCCAGGGACAAGAGAGCGAGTGGCACATGCTCTTGGCCAAGGCAAAGGCTGCTCGCCTCCAGCGTCTGACAGGCAGCGTTGGCGGTCAAAGAATGGGAGGCCCATGTCGGCACCTCATGCAACGCATTGCTACGCCCCGCCACGCTGCTGAAGGATCCCAGGTCAGGCAGCAAAGAGGAGGATGTTGTGCTCAGGCTGATGCCATTGCTCGTGTCCAACATGTCCATCCTCAAGTTGAGTCGATTGGGCCAGGCACTTCTCCCAAACCCATTTGATCTGCAATCTGGGGACGGAACGGACCGTGGGATCTCGAGACCTCGGTCAACTCTTCGTGCAGCTCCCAACCTCCACCTCTTCTTTGGCAGGACACCAGCAGGCCACGGCCGCATCAGTGGAGCACCTGCCCCCACAACTCTGCGGCGAAGCAGACCCACCAGGGAATGCTCTGAGAGGCGGGCCCAGTGCCACTGCCAGGCTTCTCGGAACAGGCATCCAGGCCATCCTGTCCTCTGCAGAAGAGATCCTGCACTGCCCTACGCTCTGCCAGCATCCCCGTGTTATCCGCAGGCCTTCCGCCCAGGTCAGCAAAAACCTCGGCATCCCAAAGTCGCAGACGTCACAGTGCGTTGAGCTTTTGCCACCGAGGCACAAGAGCACCGCCACAATGCGAGCACCGGCCATGAAGGATCCCATGACTTTATATATAATCTTATCTTATCCACGAGACACCACTACGACACCATGACAAGGACAGCTACGGGTGCTGTTGCAACTGCAGTACGCGTGAGGTCATCCTCCCAAGTATCCCAAACCTATCCCGCAGTCAGATGGCTGGAGCGGAAGCGGGACAGCACGAGTCTGCACCCGCTTTTCTTTCGGCAAGTCTATGTGCAACGAGGATGCAAACTGGATGCAACCAGCGAGCATAGAATCCCTTTCACCGTCGGCAGACTGTAACGTTGCAGAGTTGCGCTGTTTGCTGTCGAGCTCATGAACAGCAACGGCGAACCGGCAACCACTTCGTGGCGCTGAAATGCCTGCAGGGTGCACGGTGTCGGCAGGTATGGGAAACGGCCTAGTCGACTCACAAGGTTGCCAGGAAGAGACAGTTAGTCGGCCAATTGCTTACAAGCTCAAGCGCGGTCTGAACAAAGCATAGACAGAGATAGCAAAGAAAGCAAGGGAAGAAGTGTTGGTGCAAAGAAGCAGGCAACGTCTCCCCCTGTCGGCCTGGCTAACTCGTCAATAGCTGCCGGGTTTGCAATCCCGAGCTTCGCAGCAGAAGAATGCAAACCGGCCGTGTGGTGGGGATGTCAAACATGAAGGCCACAGAACTGAGAGGCGTGGCTGACGAACTCGAGATATAGATCTCCCGAGATACCGCTGGCAGCCCGGGCGCAACGTGCATCCAAGGTTACCCAGGCAACTTCCATCCGGGAACTCCTTGTGATTGGGAGGCGCAAGATACCATTCTCGAGCAGCTCTATCTCACCATGCTGACGAACTGTCTCCGAAGCTTCGACCGGCGGGTCGACAGGTGCAGACTGCAGAGATGCAGCCTTTCGGCACTTGAGCTGTCCCAAGGCTTTCCAGCAACTGCCGTGACCTCCAGGAAGGTAAAACCGCAATAGCGGCGCCCCGGCAGCTCGTGCTGACAAAGTCACCCAACCCCAGGAGCCCATCAGACAGACTGGCATTCGGAGCGTCTTTCCATGTTCCTGGCACGGGCCAGTCTGCAAGACGACCGTCCCTTGGGACAGCTGTGCCACCTCAGCGGACTCCAGAGTCACCTCACTCCTGACAATAACTGTCTTGACCACCTGCCATAGACACCCAGCACATCCGGGGCTGAAGAACAGAATCCCGTTTGCGCAAGCCCTAGCATCGAGAGTGACCCACGCACTGCTTCCGGCTGTGGCCACATTCATTCGAAGTAGCCCATTCCAGAGGCGAGCGCAACTATCGATTTGGAGCACTGTCTCGTGCTGTGAAAGCGGTGGGCCCACCTGGGCGGAGTCCAGGTGCCGGCTTTCCTTGGCTTGGATGCCATCCCGAAGAGCCTGCCACAGCACTCCTTGACCGCTCAGCTCCAAGACGGACGGCCAGCCCTCGTCCAAGGCCGTCCCGGTCATGCTCGCACCATCGGGAGCCTCTGGTCCGCTGAGCCACTGGTGTTCGGCGGAGCTTTGCGGAGGCCAAGCATAGCCAGCATAGCCAGCATAGCCGGCATAGCCCGCATAGCTGCTCTCCCACCCTTGGCTTGCCGGGGAAGCAGTGTCATCTTCGCCTTCCTCGTCACTGCTCTGGGCGCCAAGCGCAACCGTGAAGCCAAGACTCCGCTTCCTGGGGCCTGAGCCACCGGCCGAGAGTGCCTCCAGGGCGTCTGTGGCCATTTGCCCCGTCAAGCCGTCTACTTCCAGGATCACTGAACCCTCGAGGACTTCCAGGTCGAACTGCCGAGCCCACACATTCCACCGCTCCAGCACCGAGCCCGGCTCGACGCCCAGAACCCTCGCACGCTCCGGCGCGCGACGGCTCGCACCCGCGGAAGCACAGAGGCCCGGCTCCTCGTCTGGCTCCAGCTGGAGCCGCACGAAGAAGCCCTGCAGGCGGCTCTGGGATGCCAGGTGCTTCTGCGGATCTTCCTTTTTGTCCTGGTGCGCCTTGCTCTCCAAGTGGCCATCTTCGGCAAACCGATCACACAAACTGCAGTAGGCTTGCCAACATCCGCCGGCAAGCCGCGCCCTCATCCAGCCCACTGCCTTCTGCTCCTGGCCAAATCCAATGCTTATGATCTTTGCTGCCTCCCTCTCTTTCACTCTGTGTTACCGTGAATTTGTGACGAGGGCTCAACATGCGCTTGCAGCAGACTTGTGCCGTTCGGGTCCCCGACAGCTTCTTGATACGCCTGTGGCTAGGCTGCCTTCTTATATCGACCAGTCCACATTGACTGCACACCCTTTTCGCTTCGGGACCTGTGAAAAATCTGATGAAGCATGAGCTCGTCTTCTTCTGGAAAGCACACATTCCTTCCAATCGCATCCCTTCAAAACTCAATCAAAACGAGCTTGGACTTTTCAATGCGAACGACCTGCACACAAACATACACAAACCCAAACAAAGGGGAGTCCTCCCATGCCGCTCTTTGTAAATCCGTCCACAGCATGTCCGGTGTTGCTGGTGGATCACTTGGCTGCGGCTTCGGAGGCTCAGTCAGCGGCGGGGTCAAGGCTGGGAGGACCCATGCTCGCGATCGAGCAAATGCCAGGAGATCGCGCCAGACATTGCCTGTCATGTGTGCGCAGTTGCCCAAGTGCTTACTTCTCTCTCTCTCTCACACGGACTCAGTTGCCTGTCAGCCGCGACGCGGAACATAGCGATTTCGCCATGCACGCTTATCTAAAATGAAATGCAATGAGAAAATCGGAATTACCAAACTACAAGGATGTCACATGTAGTGCCCAATCATCCCGGATGCCCTCCAAGCTGAGTTGAGGTAGACGTTGTAAGTTGTGTACGTGTATATCCGATTGGATAAGTGAACCATGTAGTGCGACGACAGTAGCTGGACATAGCAGTTGCACCACGAATAAGTCCCCGTGTAGCATGAGAAGACGTGGAATAAACTGTTCCAGGACCGAATGCACCGTCCCATAGAAGGTCAACTCAAGCCATCCAGACGTCTCACACAACCATTTAAATGTCCACGAGTCATCAGGAGCATAGTCGAACAAAACCGCGCGGAACCAAGAAGTGGTAGCAAGGAAGGGGTCCCGCCACCGTAGCCACGTATCGTAATGAAAACTGGGATGTTCCGACTTATGCAGACGAACTCCGTACCAGAGACAGAAATTAGCGTCGCCCTTTCCAGAACTTGCTGTCGGAGCACCCTTGTACTGTCCACGATACAGGGTCTCCATGTCACCAATGATCCAAACATTTCGCTTGGCTCTAGTGACGGCCACATTCCTGTGGAACCACCCGGGGCAAACGAAGCAAAGGCTTGCGCAAGAACGTGCGGATGGGTGTGCAGCTGAGCCGCAGTCGCCGTTCGTCGGCGTTGAAACCTATACTGCCTCCAGACCTGCAAAAGCATGCGGGGAGCCACTTCCAAGGCTCCGCATCATCAAGTATGCAAGTCAGTCCTGACGGTGGAGATAATGATAAGATCACGCCTGGTTCACGTGTCATAGTCGCTTTTGCCAAGAAGGGCCACCACGTCTGGATGCAGCCAGGTCACTCGTTTCCTTGGAAGCCATCCACTGTTGCCACTGATGTGTTGGCACGCACGCGTTCGTGGGCTTTCTCAAGAAGGTGTTGGAGCAGCTCCACTTGAGCCCGGTAAGGTGTGATGATACCGACAGTGGTCCCAATGTCTGGACGGCACTCTCGGAAGAATGTGTGGAGGTGCTTCATGAGGAAGTCTGCTTCACCAATGTTGCGAAACGAGAACCTCACCTGGTCGCAGACTTCTGCCAAGCATGACACACTCACTTGGGCGGATCTCAGATCTACCTTGAAAAGATGGCCTGTTCCTCCGGCCAGCCTTCCCTGGAAGTGTCCATCCTTGGAGGAAAGTCTGCTGTGATCGGAACTATCGAGAACTGATTTAGTTGCATCTGGCCAACAGTCTGAAAGGACCGCTTCGGTGCTGGTCAAGAGGAGACCAACGATCTTCTTCCGGATGCACATGGATCTCCCTTTGCAGGACGCTGTCTGCCGTGCGGATTCTGCCACCCTGGGAGAGATTTGAAGACCGAGGGATTGCATGAAGACTTTTTTTACACCATCAGCTACTGAAACGGTTTAATCGGTACCTCATTGCCACATTCCAAATCTCGCAGGCACATGGCGGCTTGCGAAGTTCGCAATGCTGCAGGCAAGAAGCGTAAAAGCATTCGTTGGACCAGCACAAGATTGGCGGATCCATGCGGTACTGCTCCTCCAGGAGGTCTGCCATCGTGCCGGTCTGCTCAAGCCGCTCAAACCTCAGCAGGCTCTCAGTTTCAAGTAAGCAACAAAAAACGGTGCAAAATCGTATCCAAGACACATGGAACGAGCATAGCGAGCCTGCTTGGACAATGGTGACGACACCGTCGCAGGGAGCTGGCGTGGGTCGCCCACCAAGAAAAGTCGCTGCACCCAACTTCTGAGAGCCAGCAGCGTTTCGGCCTCACATGCCTGGCACGCCTCGTCGATGAGAACCGTTGGTATCTGCTGTCCACACACCGTTGCCCGCCCCGCCACTGTAAGGGTGCAGAAGACAAGCGCCGCTCTCCTGAGGAGCGCTCCTTTGAGAAAGGAAGACTCTGCGGTCCGCACCGCCGCGCAAGCCGAAAGCAGGTCGATGTGAGCTTCCGTGCAAGCTTCCAAGGCCTCCACTGTCGCCTCCGAAAGCCAAGCTCGCAGACGCTCGTCCACGTTTACCACAAATCCATGGCTGGGCTGGGTGGGGCTGGAGTGGCCAGCATCGGCGACTTGTGCAGGGACTGGACACCGCAAGGACTTGCGCACCGCCTCCATCGCCTTCCCCCAATCCTGGAAAGCGCTGGTGGCGACAAGCCTCATGTCTGGGGATGCCTTGTCCGGGTGCAGCAGAAGCTTCAGCCGCTTCTCGGCAGCAGCTAAGGCCTCCTCCGTTACCGTAGCAACTGGCGACGCATCCAGGCCGAGGAGTTCTGTCAAGCCTTCCAGAGCCTTGGCTTTGGCATCAGCCTCACTCTGCACGACCCACTGCACAAAGGAGTAGGCTTTCTTTCGGTCCTGTGCCATCTTGGGCTGGTCGCCGCCGCTCTCGCCGCTCTCGCCTTTGCCAACGCCCTTTCCCGCCGGACTTGCCATCTTGGGCAGGTCCAGGTCCAGCCAGTCCTCGCTGGGAGGCTTCGGCTCCCAGGCTTCCAGGAGTTCTGCGAGCCTCTGCCGGAAAGACTCAAGCTGATCGCGCAGCGCCACGAGCTTGCCGAAGACCTGCCCTTCCGCCGCAAGTCTCCTCCTCTCCTGCTTGGAGCAGAAGAAAGGACGGAACTCCTGGGTCTTAAACGCCACCTCTCGCTTCAGCTTCTCCTGCTGGTCTTGGACCATCCGCAAGATGTCCTGGAGCTTCTGATGCACGAAGTCCAGCAAGCTCGCAACCTGCACTGTGCCCTGGCCTTGCTTCCCCTTCCCCTTGCCGCCCTTGCCGCCCTTGCTGCCTTTGCCCTGGTACGTGCGAGCATAAGCCTGGAGAGGTTGGCACAGCAGCAGGGCGAAGCAGGAGTTGCCTGCTTCGTAGGCCCAACTAGGCTGGCGGAGATGCGGCTTGGCGTTCTCAAAGCCCTCCCCAAGCCAGAAGCGAGCGATGCGTTTCACCCGCTTCTTTCTGTGGTCGAGCAGCACGGCCGCCACCCGCTCTTCAGCCCCACGCAGCTCGTCAGACCATTCTACGTTCGCACGATCTTCCGTTGCAACCAAGACCACCTGGCCATGGTTCAGAAACACATGGTCGTCGACACAAATAAACAACTGAAAGCCAGGCGCGGCCAGATGCCACAGCTATGGAAACGAACACTCTCGGATCCCGCACGGAAGCAAGAGAGGCTCACAATAGCAGACTGTTCCAATGAACGTCTGGCCTTCGGCTTTGTGATCCGATCCGATCTGGCGCAAAATCATACAAAACCAACCTGCCATAATGCCATAATGTACTCACATGCTTGCACATATAGGAGCACACAGCCCAACTCCTTTACTGCACTGGGCGAAATTGACAGCTTGTAATTTGGTGATGCGTCCCTGTCAGCATCCCCTCTTCGACACAGTCCACACACACACACACTGAATGTCAAGTAAGGTTTCTGTATGCGAAGAACCAGAACCAGCACCCAGGTCTCGGGCGACCACATGCTGGGTAACTTTTGACATGTGGCATCATGGACAAGAATGTCGGAGAGGAACTGGACAAAGCAACCCTGCCTGACCTGGTAACCGTTCAACCTGGCTAAACCCCAACACGGCCTGATTACCTGCAAGGACACCGTAGGCACTGGAGGAAACATGGACGCATGCACTGACTGTTTCTGAAGTTATACCACAGCTGCAGGAGAACGACTGAGCGGGGTTCTTGGCTTAGCCCCATGCCATATCCAGAGAAGCGCAACCAGAATAATAATAGCCAAGTAAAACCAATGTACAGCGAAGATGATATACGATGTCACAAACGGCAGGTACACACGGTTGATCAGGCCGTGCTTCACCAGGGTATCCAGAGTGTCTTCGTTGGTGGCAGACTCTGGACCCTGCTGCCACCCCCTGCTGAGTGTCCAAAAGCATGTTTGGTTATAAGGAAAGTCGCAATCGGAAAACAGCTGCTGAGCGTGAGGGGAAGGCCCTTGGATACAGGGTTGTCACACACACACACACCCCGCCGTAGCGGGGTGAGTTAATATGGCCAAATCAGACGCAAACGATGAGCATGTAGAGCAGGTAGAGCTGTCGGGTGAACTTGCAGAATCTGACAATGGTGCAGAGAATGTCGTTGAAGAACTTCTCGGAGAGGAGTTGATAACTCATGTCTGTCATATTGATGTCGGTCAACATGACGAGCGTAGACTTTGGGTGCCAGAAGACCGAGGCAGAGTTGCCAACGGTGATGAAGTATCAGTTGTCGCATGATGTGATGCAGACGATGATTGGCAAGAAGTAGCGCATGAAGCATGCATGGAGGTGGCGCGGTCATGAACATGCTGTACTGGTACCCGCAGATGTTGACGTCATAATAATCCAATCGTTGGAAGGAAGGATTGAGTTGGCAAAGTCCATGGAGCGTGTCGAGGTAGAAGCGATTCTGCGAAGTGGTGAACCGGTGCTGTGAGATGACGAAGCGCGGATCAAGGAGAGTGCTAGGGATCCGTAGGTCAGGTGAAGTCATTTGACGAACTTGCCATACACGGATCTCCACCAAGTAGTCAAGCCACCATTCCGATGGAATATCAAGTAGGTGCGGAGCCATGAGTAACCGAAGGCGGAAGAAAAGGAGGACGAGGGCTAACCAGCTGGTGCTAAAAGGGCTGCGGAGGATGGAATAGAAGAAGGTCAAAGTAAGCGAACGAGGTTCTTTGCCTGCAAAAAGTTCCGTCGGAGTACCCCAGAATTTCACCGTCTCAGAGCAGGAAGAAGACCATGGCGTTGTTGTTCTTGTCGCCAGTAAGGATTATCCGTTGCGGTGGGTGATGGAAGCGGGTGGCGGCGGGAAGTCGTGGTTATGCATTTGGAAAAGGAGAGGCGATGTGCCGAACACCAGCATGTAGTAATCCATGGTCCAGATGAAGTGGGTCGCCATTGTGCAAGCGTAGGATCTCGGATGCGCACGCGTAAACAAAGTCGGGATGTAGAACGTAACTGTACATGGGCTCGCCAACACAGTTGATTGCAGTGTACGATGACGGATGGCTGATAATGGTAGATCGTAAACACCGTGTTGTCGTGGTGGAAGCCGAAGAAATTGTGGGCGCTCATCTTGTGGTCTTGTAGTGCGGCGAGGAATTGTTGCCAAACGCCGTATTGCTGCCAAGAGCAATCACCGTGATGTGCGGTCAAAATGGAGAAGGCTGATCGGGTGGCGTGACGATCATCAGTGTGCGGACGTTGGCAATGACGAGGGTCCAGTTGTATCACGGTCTGCATCTCGAAGTAGGAGAGGATCATGGGGAGGATGCCGGAGAATGAAGCCATTAGTGGAGGGGAGCAATCGATGGAGTTCGTACAGAAAGGGCTGCGGCAAAAGGGGCTGCGGGGCGTGATGCTCACATATCAGGCAATACTTGGGCAGTATTTTCCAGAGCAGGTTCTCGGTGATGCGTCAGGGAGTCAGACGTTCACGTACAGAACGTCGTCGGCGAGCGGAACATTCGCGGAAGATGAGCGCCAAAGGTATAAGTTGGTCTTCGGGTAGATCATAGCGGCGTCGTATGCGGGAATTGTCCGCAGCTGCAGTAGGTCCTCCTCGTTCATGTGCTATGATGTCCAGCATGATGCGGGCGCGATGACGAATGCAGTTCTGGACGTCCTGATAATATGGTGATGCCGGAGTGCACTGACGCCATTGTCGAAGCCATTGTTGTCGACGACGTTCGGCGGTGTCTCCATGGAATGAGACGGTGGAGTGTGTCTTGCCCGACTTCGTTCGGCGTACCTGATGTAATGTGTAACCATGTCCTCGTGGTGGTATGCGTGTTCGAGGAGGAATGCCCCTTGCGGATCGGTGGTTCGGAATCGTGGTTGGAGGTCTATCCGCTGGTACAGGTCGGGTCGGGGAGGGTGCCTTCCGTGGTCGTCTTGTTCGACCGGATGGGGAATTCTGGTGATGTTCGGTAGCTCCTGTAGAAGGACCCATTGTCCTTGGTGTCGTAGTCGAGCGCGAAGATGACGATGAGGATGACGATGATGACGTCGAGGAAGAAGATGGTTTCGTCCCGGAAGATCGAGAAGACGTAGAAGAGGAGGAGGATGCCGTGACCTGGCGATGTTGTCGACGGCGTTTGCTGGGTCGTTGTGGCGGTAACGAGGGCGGTGGGGTTGGAGGTGGAAGGGTGCTCTGAGGTGTGGAATCCCCGTGAAGGTCCGACACTTCGATAGGTGGACCAGCGTAAGGCGCGGAGGAGTTGTCCAGATCCGAATCCATGTCGGGGGCGGGTCGCCATGTAACGTCGTCCAGGAGGTAGGAGTCGGATGAAGAACCAGTCATGACTAAGTGCTCTGGGGTTATTTGACCTAAAATGCCTGCGGACTAGAACAACTGAAAAGAAGTGGTGTAGGTCTGACACACACGAGGGCGCGGATTTTCCACGGGTTCACTGACCTGTCGCCAACGGAGTCCAAAGCGGCGAAGTACTGATCGAGAAGCGTCCTCCAGTGAGCGTTCAGAAAAGCCTCGTTCACGATAGAGCTGAATGAGTTCACGTACCTGGGGTGCAATTACGTCTTTGGGCCACGACAATCGGCAGATGAGATAGATCCGGGTGGTGAGGCCCTGCGTGTTCCTGCGCGTCGAAGATACCGAGCACGGGGAGCGCAAGGAGATACTGTTCCGTGGAAGAACAAGTCGGATGGAGCGTTGTGCCGTGTCCACGATGGTGCCCAACAGTTCTTGTCCCGGGACATGTTCCAATTCCAAGGGAAGACCATAAAAATGTGGGTGTAGATATACTTCCTGAAACCAGCTGGACGATGTAGTAGATGATGAAGATAAGGAATGGTGATGTCGACGTGAACAGGGCCGTGGAGGGTCAGTCAGCGATTCCAGTTCCCCGTCCCAAATCCGAAGGAGGCAGCGATTGTCCACATAGCGGGAAGAGCAAAAACAGCGCGAGGTCAGCAATTGATCGCGGATGATCTGGTGGAAAGTGGCCTCCCACAGGGCTGCGGTCACTCCGCACATTGAGGGTGCCATGGGTGAGCCCATGGAAGCTCCACGATGTTGTACCAAGATTTCTGTGCCGACTGTGAAAAACGAGTGGCGTAGTAGGAACATGACCAACGAAGGTAGATCGCGGAGGCATAGAGGTTTGTAATGTGACCCGGCTTTTCGAAATCGGCCTCGAAATAGGCGTCCCAATGAATTGCGGTCGCGCATAGTGATCTGTATATCCGAATCCAATGAAATCTGTTGGTGGCGAGCGAACATGTCCGTCAAAGACGAAATCGAGTGGTAGATGCGATCATGTGGAACCGAAGTGAAGAATCCGGAGAGATCTTGTTGAAGTAGCTGAAGTTCCACGGTAACGGGGTTGTTGCGGAAGGCGTGTATGAACGTGTGGATGATGGAGTGGACGGTGGGGGAGACAAACTGGGGTGGGACGACCGTCTGAAGCAGCTGTAGTACTGCGGTGGATAGAAATTTCGCGAGTGGTGCACACCACGTATTGGAATAGCTAACGATCGGCCGGCCCTTCAAGAATTGTTTTGAAGGTTTGGGAAGCACGTATGCGTACGGCAAAGATTCTTTGGGTGCAAGGGCCCAGTGATAGCGTGCAGGAACGTGTCGCTTGATGGCTCGCTGTATGTGTTCTGATAACTGCATCGGGCTGGTATCTCGTCGCCAGAAGACTGCAGGATCCAGGAAGGTTTTGGTCAAGATGTCGGAATACTGTTGAGGGCAAAAACCATAAGCCAAATGAGGGCCGTGATCAATGGGAGACACCACGATGTGCTCGGATCGTTCCCGCAAGTTCTTGAGTTCACGTAATTGCCTGCCATCTGGTCGCGTCCGCAAAGTTTGTCCATGCAGTCGCCATTGGTGTGAGACAAAGACCTGCCAGCGAAGTAGAGATTGATCAGGCTGTCGCCACAGTTTGAACCATCGGGTCATGGGAGCCACAGTGTACCTGCGAAATTGAGATTTGGTCAACCATCGGCCGTCACCCATATTTTCCCGATATGTGGATTCACCCAGGACGACGTCGGCCGGGGCTGCAACGTGA